CCCGCCACGTTACCCTCGATCTCCCGCCACACGCGCGGGAGTCACCATTTTGGGGTTTTTGGGCTGTGAAAATCGCAAAAGCACGATTCCCGCTCGACCTGCCCCGCCAGTTCTCTCACCACACGCGGGGGAGTTTCCATTTTGGGGGTTTGGGGCTGTGAAAATCGCAAAATGGAGACTCCTGCATCCATGCCCCTCGCTCTCCCGCCACACGCGGGGGAGTTACCATTCTGGTGGTTTTGGGCTGTGAAAATCGCAAAATGGCGACTCCCGCGCATCCCTCTCCCCTTCTCTCCCGCCACACGTGAAAATCGCAAAATGGTGACTCCCGCGCGTCCCTCCCCCCCGTTCTCCTGCCACCAGAGTGGATTCTATTAGCCTGTCATGGCAACAACGCGCTCTCGATCTCCCACCACACACGTGGGAGCTACCATTTTGGGGCTTTTGGGCTGTGAAGATCGCAAAATGACGATTCCCGCGCGTCCCTGCCCCACGCGGGGGAGTTACCATTTTAGGGGTTTCGGGCTGTGAAAATCGCAAAATGGAGCCTCCCGCGTCCCTGCCCCCCCGCTCTCCCGCCACGTTACCCTCGATCTCCCGCCACACGCGCGGGAGTCACCATTTTGGGGTTTTTGGGCTGTGAAAATCGCAAAAGCACGATTCCCGCTCGACCTGCCCCGCCAGTTCTCTCACCACACGCGGGGGAGTTTCCATTTTGGGGGTTTGGGGCTGTGAAAATCGCAAAATGGAGACTCCCGCATCCCTGCCCCCCGCTCTCCCGCCACACGCGGGGGAGTTACCATTCTGGTGGTTTTGGGCTGTGAAAATCGCAAAATGGCGACTCCCGCGCATCCCTCTCCCCCTTCTCTCCCGCCACACGTGAAAATCGCAAAATAGTGACTCCCGCGCGTCCCCGTTCTCCTGCTATCAGAGTGGATTCTATTAGCCTGTCATGGCAACAACGCGCTCTCGATCTCCCACCACACACGTGGGAGCTACCATTTTGGGGCTTTTGGGCTGTGAGGATCGCAAAATGACGATTCCCGCGCGTCCCTGCCCCACGCGGGGGAGTTACCATTTTAGGGGTCTCGGGCTGTGAAAATCGCAAAATGGAGACTCCCGCGTCCCTGCCCCCCCGCTCTCCCGACACGTTACCCTCGATCTCCCGCCACACGCGCGGGAGTTACCATTTTGGGGATTTTTGGGCTGTGAAAATCGCAAAATCACGATTCCCGCTCGTCCTCCCCCCCCAGTTCTCTCGCCACACGCGGGGGAGTTTCCATTTTGGGGGTTTGCATGGGGCTGTGAAAATCGCAAAATGGAGACTCCCGCGTCCCTGCCCCCCGCTCTCCCGCCACACGTGGGGGAGTTACCCTCGATCTCCCGCCACACGCGCGGGAGTTACCATTTTGGTGTTTTTGGGCTGCGAAAATCGCAAAATGGCGACTCCCGCGCGTCCCTGCGCCCCCTTGTCCCGCCACACGCGGGGGAGTTACCATTTTGAGGTTTTTGGGCTCTCAAATTAGCAAAATGGGAACTCGGGTGCCAAAAGCACCCGGAGGGTTCTTGGGGATGGATTTTGGAGCTTGAGGGTCCGTGGTAGTGCCTTGCTATTCTGCATTTTGTTTGTTTCAATATGGAAAGGAATGATCCTCTAGATGATCTTCCCATGCAGTTTAGACGACATCCTGTAAGTCCTACTCCTAGTCAGTCCTAGTCATTTCTCTGCGATCACGAACACTCCTTCTCCTGACCCGAACCCCAGAAATCAACAGCAGCTTTTGGCATGCTGCGAAAAGCAGGTGCCTGTGGATGGGCTTTTGTAGCAGCAGCAGAAGCAGCAGCAGCAGCAGCAGCTGTAGCGGCAGCAATACCGGTGCTGATGCTGCTGATGTGTCTTGCTGCTGCTGCTGCTGCTGAATCCTTGTCGTGGTGAGGTTTTGATGCCTTGTCGTGGTGAGGTTTGCAATGCGCTGGCGTGGTGAAGTTGTTTTTTGTTGTGGTCTCGATATTTCTTGTTATGGTGTGGATTCTATTTCTCTGTCATGGTAACAACGCGCTCTCAATGTTCCTCTTCTGACCCACGCAGAATACAGTTGCAGCTTGGAATGTGGACAAAACATACATCAACACAAACATTTGTATCGGGTTCAGTTCTCAATTCCTTTTCCGCGGGCGCATTGTGTCAGTTCGAAAAAGTGATACCCGTTTAAGAACCGAAAGCTTGATTCAATGGCGAAAGCCGGGCATCGACTGCAGGTCCTCCGTGCAGTACATCACGAAATCCCGTTGGCGATTGAAAGGCAGGCATCGGGCGCTGTCGCGGACATGAAACTTGCATCAACAAGGTCTGCAGGCAACAAGGCAGGTTTCGTTCGGAAAGGCAGTCGCGGCCAAGAGTGAAGCTGCTACGACCTAGGATAAGCTCCAAATACCAAAGTCGCAGCCTCTAGTAACTCTAGTACGTCGAGCGACGAGCGTGCCTGAAGGCATCGGTCCGATGGCAGCAGGCCTTCGCCTGGCTGCGGCGTGGCTTGGCGGGGTGACGGGGTGTCGGGGCTTTCGGCCCAGACCTAGACGCTGAGGCGGTCCGTGCCGGCCATCTCCACGAAGGTGGGGTGGGACGCAACAAGAGAAGACAAAAGGCTTCTCCGGACGTTTTCTTGCCTTCTTCTTCTGCAGGGCTTCTCTATGATGTCTGCAGAAGTGCAGAGCCCATCGTGGACACCGCCCACCGAGGCCACCAAGCCAGAGCTGCTTGACGGTGGGGGCCTGCCGGGAGAATGTGTGAGCTTCGAGAGATACTTAGGTGGAGATGGATTTGGCGCCGGTGAAAGAAATGCAGGTTGAGCCTGTGGTGGAGATCAGGTACGAGGAGCCCCTGAGCTCCAATTTGAGGCAGCTTCTTCTCCAAGTCCTGACACTCCTTGAGAGCAGGGACTGGCTGCTGTTCCTCGTTTGCTCAGCTTCATGCCGAGGTTGAAAAGTCTCACGCCCGATGTTCTTGACAAGCTTCGCAAGGCCTTTTCAGGTTGCCCCCTAAGCTTTCACAGGGGCAGATGTTCTGTCAACTGTGGCCAGACCTGGTTCTTGCCTGGTCTGGCTTTGAGATGCGATGAGGCCCACGCGCCTACGGAGCTGTGGCCATCACGGGCATCCCAGGTTCCTGGATGCGCTTTGTGCCAGTGAAGTAGCTGCTAGGTCAAGGTATCATTCCATGATGCAGGAACATGAAGCCCAGGTTATGCCGAAAAGCGTCGCAGGGCATTTCGCGCGGGCACCTTGGCGCCAGATTATAAAAGCCACGGCCATTTTCAGAGATTGCAGTACTTGGGCATTATGTCTGAGACCGGGCAAAAAATACGAGTGTAAGGGATGCAACATATGCAGTATGTGATTTGGTAAATGATATTAGGCATCAGGTACACGAAATTAAATGAACCACTTGCGAACTGGTTCCGATGAGGTGCTGTCTGGCTTATGGTAATCTGATGTATGTGTGGTTTATATGTTATCTTTGCCATGATACATGGCATGTGTTATAGCCAAGACTGGCATCTGAATGTGTAGGTGTGCAGCTACTTATATACGCACACACACAGAGACGCAAGGGACTGATTCGTTTGCTTCTGAATAAATCCAGGAAGGTTTCAGGCAGGATGATGACGGAGGCATTCTGCTTTGCTTGTTCAGCCGCTCCAGGCATCGACCTGGCACTCTTGGACCCAGAGGGTCGTGATCGAGCGGCGGCTGTGAACAACACCTACCCTGGCCGCATGGCATGTGATAAGCGTGGCTTATTGCAGCTGGACCAGAAGACTCCACGGATTGAGTTCCGACGGTTTGAAATTCGGGCGTTATCCCAATGTAGGTGTCCTTGCTACTTATGATTCATGTTGGGTTCCGATCTTTTCTGAAATCTGTTTTGGACCGGCATTGCTCGCCCTTGGCCGACTGCTCGACAAGCTCACAGAAGGCTCAAGATTGACAAGGTGTTCCGGGAGCTCTGCCGAAGCCTTCCCCCATCGCTTGAATCCTCAGGTTGGAGCGGTACGCCAGGCGGGCGTTCTTTTCGCGAAGGTTCAGTGTCTGACATCGTTCGCGTTGCAGCGCATGGGGATGGAGTCTAGGCAGACATTGGTCGGACAAAAGGGTACAGGATGCTGCGCTATGTTCCTGTGTATCGCCGGAAACATGCCCATCCGTCACTGGAGCTTCGCGCTTCCTTCCCTCGCAGCGCATTTGCAATGCCAGGCAGTGAGACGCATCCGCATCTTGGTGGAAGAAAACGGTTGAGGCTACACCAGCCCCAGACTGCGAACTTGTTAGCAGGAGCACCTCCAACCTTGTTGTGCGACAGTTGCACACACGGCACTCAAGCCGCAAAGCTTCAAAGCAGAGGTTGCAGAACAGCTTTCTGTTCAACGTTAAGGAGGAGCTCCCGGAAGGCAAAGTCGAGCCTTTTTGGCACCTCGGGGTACTTCTAGAGTCGTAGAGTGGGAGGAGGTCTGTCGAATCCCTACGGCTTTGCAAAGGACCCCTTCTTCGGCAAGAACATCTTCCCCAGCGAGGACCTCCTAGATTCAAGCCGGCACGTCCCTGACTCCCTGCTGTAAGGAGTATCGTCAGACATGGGTGGAGTTTGCAACGTCTATGTACGGTGTGGCTGTGGATGTCCTGCGTGGCCGGGGGCTCGATCTTTGAGAGGGTCCCGGCACGGGCTCCGGCTTGGTCCTTTTACCTTGCAGGTTGCGACAAGGTGATGGAACTGGACGTGCCTTCCTGGTCGGAGTCGCCCCGCAGCCTCGCAAAGATGGGTGTCTCTGGCGCCGGTTTCAGTTTCAGTCTTGGGCAATGAAACCACCTGCATCTCGAATCTACAGTTCGAGAAGCACACTGCATTCGTTCCGTCTTTTCTTGCACACTGGTCTCGATTCCAGTGAAGAAGCCTCTGGCAAGTGGGATTGGCAAAACCGGGCACCTCCCGGGTCCACAATGGAAATATTAGCCCAAACATCTGATGCAACATCAGGGGACCCAACCGTTCCCGGACTTAGGGCGCATGTCACACATGCAGCCCCGAGTACTGTTCAAAGAAAACCGCACTTTCCAAAGACTTGTTGACGGGTCGGCTTGGCTGTAGAAGCTACCAGCCTGTTGACGGATGCCGCATGCTCGATTGCTCCAAGGATCGCCACCAGGACAAACGATCAAACTGCCACACTGTGTGCTTCAAGGAAGTAAAGAGGATTCTGCCAATCTACTATCCGACCACGATTGCGACAGAATCACAAGCCGTCTGAGTCGTACGATGTTTGGATGGACAGACGGTTTACACAGAAGCAGCACAAGTCGTCCGCGTGTGACCTATCTCCAGGCGACGATGGACCCGCGCTTGCCGGCCGATTCATCTGTGGGAGCCTCGGGAAAGGCGTCGGTTTGGGGCAGTTTGAGGCACCTTTGTCAGGATCTCCTGTCAAGGAGGTGGCAAATGAATTGTCAGTTCGCATTGCATCATTGTGCATCTGTCTGTTTCGGAGCTTCCCACGTCCTGCACGGTATGTGCAGGGTCGCCAGCACAGAAGCACCCTGCAAAACACTGCTGTAGAAAGTCTCAAAGTGCCCGGCGGGCGCAAATGCAGTCTGAGGCTATGACTCCGGCTTCACTCGAGAAGATCGGCTCCTTGAGGTCGCCAAGGACTTTGCAGACGCCCGCATGATTGAAGTGCAGGCCTGAGGCTCAAAGTGGCGCTTTAGGACGGCTCTGATGAAAGGTACTGGCTGCGCAGATGTGAGCCAGCAGCTTTGCACGGTCTGATGATATGCCAGGAGAAAAGCAACTTGGCTGTCGGAGATGTGCCAGACCTCCTGGAGCCTGCCAAAATGTCTGGTAAGTTGGTTGGGCACGCCGGAGATGGCCTGGCGTCCATGCGGACCCACACCACTCCTGTCAAGTCTGCTGGGCACGCCGGAGATGGCCTGGCGTCCATGCGGACCCACGCCACTCCTGTCAAGTCTGCTGGGCACGCCGGAGATGGGCTGGCGTCCATGCGGACCCACACCACTCCTGTCAAGTCTGCTGGGCACGCCGGAGATGGCCTGGCGTCCATGCGGACCCACACCACTCCTGTGAAGTCTGCTGGGCACGCCGGAGACGGCCTGGCGTCCATGCGGACCCACACCACTCCTGTCAAGTCTGCTGGGCACGCCGGAGATGGCCTGGCGTCCATGCGGACCCACACCACTCCTGTCAAGTCTGCTGGGCACGCCGGAGATGGCCTGGCGTCCATGCGGACCCACTCCACTCCTGTGAAGTCTGCTGGGCACGCCGGAGATGGCCTGGCGTCCATGCGGACCCACTCCACTCCTGTCAAGTCTGCTGGGCACGCCGGAGATGGCCTGGCGTCCATGCGGACCCACTCCACTCCTGTGAAGTCTGCTGGGCATGCCGAAGACGGCTTTGCATCTATGCGGGCCCACTCCACTCCTGTGAAGTCACCTGGGCACATATTCGCGTTCAGCGAAAGTAATTCTGATGCATCTTCTAATTCACCTGCGCTGGGGCAGAGCAGAGGCGGCTTGGATATTATTCGCTTTGGTAGCCTCGTGTTGAGCCCGTGCATGCAGTACAGAGTAGCCTCGGAAGCACGCGAGGCTCTGCCTCACTCGCCATTGCGAACAGCACGGCGACGGCCGGTGGAGAGCAGTTTGGGCCCAAGTTACCGAGAACTTGCCAGGTTGCTGGAGGGAATGCTTTAGCATTGCCGGCATAGTGTTGAAAGTCGCACACTCCGTGCCGTACTGCCTACTGGAATGGAATGTCGGCAGGCTGTGCAATCACTGAAAGCTTGCAACAGTGCACGCAGTGCACGATCCTACCTCAATCAGGCCGGGTGATTACTGGCTCCCCTGGCACGTGGATTCCAATTTTGTAACCCTTCTCCACAAGGACTGGGCAGTCTCACTCAAGCAAGCTTTTTTGGAAGAGGAACCCCCAAGCTACTGTAGTCAGGAGATGTACGCCAGTGAAGCCACCGGCGCTTTCCTCTCAGAGCCGGCAGGGGCCGGGCTGATGATGATGAACGAGGCAGGCCCAAGGCCCAAGGCACCTCTGGTGCCCTGCTGTGACTTGGCTCGTCGGATGCCTTGGCAGGTTGGGGAGACTACGATGTTCCAGTGCTCCGACCCCGATGCGATGATTCTCCAAATGGGTGCGTTCGCACAAATCTATACAGGCATCGACACTTTGACTGTGACACCTCCTGCGAGTTTTTGTCGGTTTGTTTTATTTCAACAACTAAACGGATGATATATCAGACCTGTTCTCTGTTTGGCAGGAACCCTCGTGCCATGCCGCATATTCGGCACGAGATCACATGACATGCGTAAATGTGCCGGCTGTCGTGACCTGTCGTGACCTCTCGCAACTGTGGTATGTGTGCGATCGGAATAGGCGAAGTGTGACTGTTGCAGGGGGCGCAATGAGCTCTTGTCGACATGCTGTCCTCCCCTCAGAATGCCACGTGCTTCTCTGAAGGACTTTACACGAAGGCGGTAAGTCCGTCCTGGAGGTAATTCATTTCAGAGGATGCTGTCAAACCCAGGTACTCAACACACTGCAGCCAGGGGTCGCCCGTTTCAACTACTGCAGCTTGGCTACCGAGACACTGCAGTGCTAAGGAGACGAGACGCTGTCTGCACGTAGCAGGATGGGTCAACCTGCACAGAAATACAAACGCAAGAAGTCTGTTCGAGGCAATTTTTGGTACGTGCCGTGGGACACGCTGTGCGAGCCCCCCCCTGGTGGCTCACTTGCACGTGCAGTACCGCTGCCAAGACAAAATATGTAGGTCTTGTCATACCATCATCAACTGCATGTAAGGTATGGAGAGCACAGCCGTCAGCAAGGGCTGGAATGCCATGATGGATGAAAGCTACCTCAACATTACGATGAGGTCAGCAGGTGATATCTAGGTTTTGCCTCATGGTTGGGATTGCATCAGATCTACATGTCTTGCGGGGTGTCCTGCAGCATCTAGGGGGCCGTGGATTATGCAGTTTTTGTTGGAGCAGCTTTGGGCGTTCACGAAACTGCCTGTCTTGGGGGAGACTGAAACAGCCAATGGCAGGCAGAGCTTCTCCGCATTCCGACAGTGCCTTGGTTTCATGATTTGCTCAGCTCTATGATCGGCTCTTGGAGCGAACGGCTCTCCCAGCCTAGCTCCGCGACCTTAGTTAACATCTGGTTCATAATAACATTCGGCGATCAGTGAAATGTCACGTCTGGTTGACGAATCTGCACTGCCTGTTCCACCATTCACAATTGCTGTCGTATCGTCGGCCGGACACCGTTCACTGATGAGATTGCATCTGTCCCAGGAATGTTTACTCATGACGAAGTACTAGTGCAAAATCAAAAGCTTTATCTTTCGAGGTTCATGGTGTCGCCGGAGGCTCGAATTCAGTTTGTGAATTCCGAGCGCTTCAAAGCCCCTGGGCAGGAAATTCCCTTGGTGCATGTCTGGAACCTGCATGTCTCATTCTTTTGCAGCTCGCCACTTTCTTGGCGAGCCTATCATGAAGTCATTTGAGCACCCTCAGCTGGAATACGATCCTATCGCTTCCAACGGAGGAACTTTCGGCGATCCTCCCTTTGGAGAAGAAGCCGCGCACACGGGGTCCGGACCTTGTGGTTCGCTTCCGTAAGCGCGACTCCGATCCGTACACATCCAACATCTGTTGATGTTATGGTCTGAAACCCATAGTTTCCTGATGCTTCAAGAAAGCAGGTCATGAAGCCAGAAAACCACAAAGTGAAGAGTCAAGACGCCGCAAAGCCACTGACACTGTAGGACGAAGATAGTACACGTCACAGCCATAGCTCGCTCTTGGAGTCCAGACCAAACACATCCATGCAGGTTAAAGCCCCCTGAGCTCCAATTTAAACTGTAAGCCTCAAGCGCCAGGACCTGCCTCGGAGACTGACTCAGAGCCAAGGATTTCGCAAAGGAAAGACACTAGAACAACAGAAACGGCAAGGAGAACAACGTCGCCCAGCACAGTTTTCCACCGTTAAGCAAGCGCTGCAGTTTCCGCACACATCAGCGAGAGAGCTGCTTGCAAATTAAACGTTCCACAGTATGTTGTGCTTTCTGAATCAGCAGAAAAGCTGAAAGCCATGCCCAAAGTTCAACCGAATTTTGGGGGATCGAAAAAAACAGGTCACGGTCTCTGTTGTGAGTGTGATACAAGCCTTTCCACAGCACAGCAGGTGCATATGTCTTCAGGAGGTGCCTGTCCACAATTTTGATTTCTTGCAAGCTTGAGCTGTCACGCGAGATCCCGAAGCGAGCCCAAGGTGTCCCGGACAGCAAGCCGGACATCCAGATCGACCTCTTGACCGACGTGCGGTGTCCCTTCTCGCTTTTGAGCTGCATAGGGTGTGAACATCTCACGTAGTTTTTCTTTTATTCAGGGGAGGAAATCTTTTAAGACGTGCTGCAAGACGGAAGTCGTCCCAATCCCGCTACGCCCTGCAGGACAGCATGTCACATGGGCTTTCTCGGATGGCTTGTGAGGTGTATGCCATTAGGGAAAGGTAACGAACCGCGAAACAGAAGTTCAGCTCTCACAAGCCCCTGGGGGTTACTCGCCTTAGTGGGCTGGGCGTCGATAGGTTACCAAATATCAAAGCCACATCGTGTTTGGGTTTTGCAGCGCCAGGTATCGTATGAGATCTCGGGGGGGAGGGGGGCGTGTTATCTCGCATTGGTTGGTTGATTAAGCTGCACATCGATGAGCGTCCACACTTGCGAATCGCAAATGTCAGAAACTGCCTGCGTCACCCTGTTTTACCCTGAAGATTGAGCTTTTCTTGCAGACTACAAGCAGCGTCCACAGGAAGGTTTGCCATGTACTGATACGAATTGTCGGCACTGATGTGTGATATGAAAGGGCGTCCACACCTCGGGTGATGTGTATTCTCGCCGACTGATGTGAGATAGACTCGATGCTTGCATGTGCACGACCGCATCATGACGGACAGCCTGTGTTCTGCAGGGGAGATGTCGGTTGACGATGATTTTGGCTTGTGTTGACTGTCCTTGAAATCTCGAGGGTACGGTGCTGTGAACCCCGAAATCGTTTTGGATACGTGGCTCTTGAACACTGCCGTGCCTTTGGGGGAACGGCCTGTGGGTGTGGGCGTCGGTAAGCTCCTATTTTCTGGTTGTCGTTGGCATTGCCGCGACTGCGTGCTCAAAGTTGTTAGGCCGGATGTGACGCTGTGAAAATAACAAAACCAGATCATAGCTGTTGTGATTTGGTTTTGTTATCAAAGTGTCACATCCGGCCGGACAAATTCCGGGCGACTGCCAGCTTCCAGTTACGCCAGTGACCAGTAGTGTAAGGGTTCCGAAGAGCATTGTCAGAATTGTACTAGAGCAGTGCAGGATTTGCAGTTTCACGAGAATGGGGCTCTGTACCCAATCGTGGCATGCAGCGCACCCGGAAAGAAATCCGATATGACTGCCCCCCCTGCCATTGCCTTCTCATGTTCAGCTAGTCTCAGATGTGATCTGCATCAGGTTCATCAGTCAGACGAATTTGCAGGCAGCAGTCCGAAATTTGGAGATGCCGCTTGATTGCATAATCTTCAGGTTCATGCGGGCAGCATCGGACCGGACTCAGCCTTTCGTCCCGCCAGGCAAGACCACGTCAACTTGCGGTTCCACCCAATCTTCCTCAATCCCAATGTCTCCAAGGACTCGTCATGGGGGGGTGGCATAATGCCATCACCATCCTGTTTCGGCAAGTTGGGTGCGTGCCTTCTTCGAGACATGCGCTTTACAGGAGGGTGAGAGTTTGGACGACTACCTGTGGCGCGAGTTCGGTTACACCAAGGACTGAACACTATGCAATGGTTGTTGCTTTCTCGGCGAACAGTAGCAAGTGCCTGCAGGAGTATGCCCACTCAGAGAATTATCCGCTGCGGCAAGCTGGGCTGAAGGCAGGTATTGCAGCCTGGCACGCTGAAAGTTGCGAGCCTTTCACCGCTTGGCAGCTGCCAAAGGCCCATACATGGACTAACCCACGGCAGGCACTTGCAGTCCCACCACTGTAGACGAAAGACCTTAACCGCCTTAACCAACACTCACAGCGAGAGTGCAGGGTGGGGTAGACGCACCGAGCCAGTCTGCTCCTACATAAGGGCTGCAGCTCACACAAAAGTAACACTGGCCTGATTGAATAGAAAGTGCGCAAGCCATCTGCTGCATGGGCCAGTTGCAGCCGTGTCCTGCAACGAAGTGTCCGAGGCCCTGAATCCCAATCGGCGGGTGGTCAACACCTTCGACGCCCATTGCCTGATCGAGGTTGCACAGGTGCCGCTACCCGGACCCGGAGAATCACGGAACATTCCTAAACGGCCAAGAAGCCCTCCGCATCCGTAAACCTCTGAGTCCCAAGCCGCGCAGTTTAAACTCATGTCAGGCACAGGGCAAGCAGGAGGCGCTGGAGCAGATGCTTTCCCGATGGTACTTTGAGGAGGCGAAGGACCACAAAAGGATGGTGTGGCCCACGAGCAGTCACGGGATGTTTAGCAATCATGTGATGTACTGGGGGCACCAAAGCATCAGCTCACCGATGCTGTGAGCCGCGTCCGTCTATTGTGCTGGAAGGGCTATCTGTCGTGGTGAAGCTGGCATGTTCTTGAGCATTCTGGGGCGGCCTGACACAGTAGAGGCACTGCTGCCAGTGGATGCTGCCGGTACCTGTCGCTGTCGGTCGTAGGAATGATGCGTAGCAGCTAGCTTGATAAGATGCCGTTTTTGAGGTGGTGGCGCGCATGATGTCTCTGTCTCTCTTTCTCTCCCTCTGTGCTACTTCTTGCCTTGATCTTGTCCTTCTGCATCTCTCTCTACGTGCTCTCCCTGACCCCGCTCGCCCTCGCTAACGCGCTCTCTCGCTCTCGCTCTCTCACCCTCCCTCCTTCCTCCCATGCAAACGGTGCGACCCTGCAGAGAAACGAGCGATCCTTGTAGGACATCTCGGATGTCCACGTCCTGGCTGCAGCAGCTGCCGAATGTGGCATTGATGCCACACTCGCAGCAGCACCTGAGACGAAGGCCGCGGTGCAGAAGCGCTACGAGGTGGCAGCGCTGGGGCAGTTGGGAATTTGTGCTGGTTTTCAATTTCTCAAACTGGCGTGAAATGGGTGCAGGCGAACAACATGGAACGACATGCCATGATGGCCCATCATCCCCATCTTGCGGCCCCCAGCCTCGCAAACCGATCACCCCAGACCATCAGAGAGAAGCCTAAGTGGAAATATGGCGATCATTGCGCTGCGTTGGTCGATCCGCATCACGGCATACACTTCTCGAGTTGGGCATGTCATTCCTAGGCGACGCTGCGGTTTGTGTGTAGTCTTCGCTGGGAGGTTGAGGAGGCCCGGACTTGACATGAAAGACAAGGCAGTGCCAAAGCTACAAACGAACGATGATGACCTTGGCAAGGCGTTGCAAATCTGCACAGGTATGCAAAGCCATGCACAGCATGAGACTCTGTCTTTTGCAGGGGACTCCATCACTCCCTGACATGAGGCGCATGCGTACTGTGGGGTCCCACTAACGAAAACTGCTAGTCTTCGGTGCACAGAAGCTCCATGACTTCAAGCCGCCTATGACGCTTCCCAAGAGCTTTGATCACAAGGTCGCGCTCCTGTTCGCAGCGCCCCTGCCAGAGCTTATATCTAGCAATCCAGGCTTGCTGCATCTTGCTGCACTTCACCAACGTCCGCCAACATTAGCAAGATGCGTGGCCCTGTCATGCAGCGATGAGTGCTGGGCATCGTCTGTTGCAAGCTTACCAGCAACCCGATCCGCACTACTAATCCCAATGTAATGCCAGGGTCTCCCGGCCTCCTCTTGGCTTTTGCGTGGGCGCACCAAATCAACCAGAAAGCATCTGTCTTTACTCAGGCTCTTGATACCTGTGGGTCGCCACGTGCACGGATAAGACTTCCACTTCAAACCAGAGTCACTAACATGTTGGATTTTCCGCAGTCGCTTGACACCAATCCGCGAGTCACTGCAAAACGTAAGAAGACCATGCCATGCAGAACCCTCAGCAAGTGGAGCATTTTGCGCAGCACTTGGCAACTGACCAGCCGTGGTAGCAGCAGTCTCATGGAATTCCGGCACCGGCTCACGTGCATAGGCGAAGTCTCGGATGGGGAGAGAACGGTCCACAGAACCATCCGTGCGGAAGAAATAAAGCGCCTCAACCAGAACGACTGCTGCAGTTCACTGTCACGCTGGAAAACAACAGTTACAACACTCCGACAGTCTTTCCTTCGTGCACATGCAGCTCAGTGCAGCTCACTGGTTCACGTGTTTTGAGCCCACGACAGCAGTCGCAACACCATTTAAACCTTCCAAGCATTGGAAAGCATGGAAAGCAAAGGAACACGTTCGGACTGCTCGCTACCAGTGCAAAATACACTTGGCACCTTATCCTTTAAGTCATCTATTGACGAACTTCCGAACAGCTAGGGCCGGACCCAAACTGCTCAAGAATCGAGTGGCAACGACACAGCTTATGATACAGGCTAGGCTCCGCAACTCTGCATCCTGCACAAAAAGGCTCTAGCCTCTTGTGGCTGGTGGGCAAGGTTCCTTGTACGTGTAGCACATGCATCAAAAGATCATGCTCACGCAAGTTATTCTGCTTTACCCGGTGGCGCAGATGCTTGCACTCCTAGAAGCCTTTTCCCCACAGTTGGGACCCACAATGCTGCGCAATCTGCTCATGCAAAAACTTGCCCACACTATGGACATGCCAACTGAACATATCAGGACAAGTCCATCCAAGGTCCTTCAAGACGCCAAGACAGGCACCCATCGGGCCCCTAGCATATGCCGCATGGGCTCTGGCCTCCGGAAGTTTGGCCGCTTGAATGTGCCAGGCTTTTTGTGAACCACGGGCAATGCAGCACGCTTGTACGAAAGAAGGATGTGGATCCAAGCAGCTTCTCTTTGCACATGCATGGTCAGCCTCCTTGCTCAGGAAATGTTTGCTCAAGGGATGTGGCATACCCAAGCATCTTGCTGAAAACAGCCTTCTCTGCAAGCTAGGTTCCTGCCGAAACTGCTCTCCCATGCCGAAAGCAGCCAGGCAAATGCCGATCCTTGAATTCCGATGCAGGATTTGTCCTCCATGCTTGGAGAAGTTCCGCATTTCCTGCTCCGAGAAGAGGTGCTCAGGGCTCCAGATCCTTGCGCGCCAATACTGTTGTTGCTGCCTGTTTCTCTGCAGATCTCGGGAAACGGCATGGAGATGAACGGCCTGAAAAGCGTAGAGGAGTGGGAAGAGGCCTTGCAGAGGTGTGTGTGTGTGTGTGTGCGTGTGTGTGTTTGTGTGTCCACCTGTCATCTGAAGCTTTGGCAGTTGTGACGAGGGTAATACATCCGGAGACTGACCTTCAAATCCTGTCTTCAGACTTGCCCGTCCATGTCCGCACAGGTGCTAAAGCAGGTGGTGGAGCGTGGTCAGTTTGTCGGGGTTACGATCGATGGACCCCACGGAAAGAAGGCTCGCAGTGGCAAAAAACAGGGCTCAAAATAGCTTCTGGGACAGTTTTGGATCTATATACGCAACTGCGTCCCAGGCTAGGTGGGCGCTTCTGCGAAACCATTACTGCTTCAACACTCTAATAACAAGGGAACAGATTATTATGAGTCTCCCTTCAAAGCTAAAGTTGCCATCCGATTGAGCAAGGTACCTGTTTAGGTCAGCTCCATGCAGGATAGCCAGTTTTCTCTTCCGGGATCGGTGTTTGCCTCGTGACCAAGCATTCGTTCGATCTGTGAATGCCTTCAGCAGGTCCGCCTGGATGAAGCAAATCCTTATTCGGCCGTAAGCCATGCAACGAATGCGCAGCACCTTGGCGCATCCAGTTTGCTAGCTCAAGGCCAGGCCGAGGCCAGTCTGGATGATCTGGGCCTGAAGAGAGCCTGTGCCCAACGAGGCATGGATGGAAGCCAGCCGGCTGGCCGTACGAGGTGGGTGGGATCCCTGACAATTAAGCTCAAGCAGTGGGGCAAGCATGCTTGGGCTCAAGCAATATCAGAGGTATACGTTTGGGGCAGTGTTGTTTTATCACCAAAATGTGCAACCAGCGAGTTGGGATTGTCACTTTGGGTGTCACCGTCGGCCCGTTCCCTGTCCTCTCGAGTCTCTGCGGATGTATGCTGTTTCGTCGGCGGTGTCCTGGTCCGTGACTTGGATAGCCTCTCCCGCCACGAAGCATGCAAGTAGATGAGATGCAACAAAGCAACGAGCTCCTTGTCAGTGCCCTTTCGCGGAAGCTGCGCGTAGCTCACATCTTCGTATTTCGGTACCCTTCTCCTATGAAGCTTCTGTCTGGACAGAAGTGCATAAACTCGTATTTTCAAGCGACGTGTAGCATGCATCGGATGTGTGGCTCAGGGTCCAAGACACGTGTCCCGAAAGCTTTTGCAAACATCAACAGCTATGGCGACCAATGGCGGCTATGGTAATAAACCAGTAGCCGAAGGTGCAGCATAGCGTAGCGTGGCGATTCCCCTCTCGTGACAGCAGCCGTATGAAACCACGGCTCTCTCTCTCTCCCTCACTTCCCTCCCGCGGTTTCTGCTCCTCTCTTGCTGCGTCCATGCTCTCGAGGGATTCCGACTTCAGATCATTTGGTGCTTCAGATCCTTCGGTTTCTCGCCAGATTGCTAGATTGCAGGCCGAAGATTTCGCACGTATGGACGAAAGCCTGGCCCTCAATGGCTGTTCGGGCGTGATCATACATTTCTGCTTCAGCAGAATCCATGCTTGAACAACTGTTGCCCCAGTACAGCTTCAACTTGATTGAAGCATTCTGCCCCAAGATGCCCAGGACAGTTCAAAGGGCCGAAGTGATCTTGCGGAGGGTTTAGTTCTGTGTTGTCGGTCAGGCCCGGACACCATGATGTACGCGGAACCGCGGCTGGTTGAGCACCTCGATGACAGCTCGCTGGAGCCTGGGTGGTGAGTGGGGGAAGGTAGAGGTGCACTAGACAGTGGGCGGTCGGTTTCGCGAACTCGCGAGATCTCGCGAGCACTGTTGGCAGGAGCGGCTGCGTGGTGCCTACGATGCCTTCTTCAAGGTGGCTCGGCTTCGGTCTGCTTGCATCTCCAGGCCACACTGTCTAGACTCTGAACCATCCACGCAGCTAGTTTGAAGCATCACAGCTTGGTCCGCAAAGCATGAGAAACTGAAACGGAGTCCGAGGCATGCCCAGAGGGCTTCGCAGTGTTGGATCTGTGCCGCGCCTAGCGGCCCAGCACCGTGAGCAAGCGACAACGCTCGATCTTGCGGATCATCGAGAGTTGGCTTAGGTGCTCGAGTTGGAACTCGCACTACCCGGAAGAGGCTTTGCGTAGCTCGTCTCTAGAGTCATCGGACAGTTGCACAACAACTGGGCCTAGATTACAACGGAATGCCTCCCCAAAGCTCATGATCCATGTTGTACTTTCGATCGCAAAGTCCGTCACAGCGGCTTCTATCAAACCCATCCTGAGCCTCTGGCTGCGAGAATCATGAAGACGAAGACTGAGAACCGTGAATAGGCATGCATGCATACATACATATCTATACACACGGGTATAGTATGTAGTACAACAAACTACATACACACATACATGTACATGTATATGTGTATGCATGAGAGGGAGAGAGAGAGAGAGAGAGAGAGAGAGAGAGAGAGAGAGAGAGAGAGACCGTAGCCATTTTGGCTCAAGCCGTGAGCGGTTCAAGGCCTGAGCCCGATTGAGAGAGAAAGGGCCTCAACCCGGGCGTTCTGAGCGAGAGACCCGGCCTTTGCCCGCAATACTTGCGACCTCCACTACCACCTTGCTGCCCTTTGCGTCTCCATCGTCAACCTTGACGGGGGCGACATAGTCGGGGTCAGACCTGACCGGCAAGTTTGTGCGGACCCTTCGGGAGAACGTCAGCAACGAGCCGGGGGCACTCGGCGAACCTACAGGTGAGCTACCACAACCGGCCGATTAGGCGCACCATCCAGGCTGGGCGGGGTACTACCACACCCTAGCGACCCGCCGCAAGGAGAGTGCTGGGTGAGGGAGACCAACAGCGTCGCGATCGAACACTTTCTGCAGTCCGGCGACCTCGCAATCCTTGCAATGACTACCACACCAGCGCACGCCTTTGGAGCGCTAACCGGCCCAATGCAGCTCGACCCGGCCTTGCGAGGGGCATCCACAGCAGCGACTGGAGGTGGAGCAGACCATCGAGACCTGCTTGACATGACTTCTCCCAAGAGGGGGCGTACCGAAGCGGGGCAAGGGGTCACTCTTGAAGCGATCCGAGACCTTCTCCGAGGGGAACTCAGCATGGCTGTGGGGCAGATGAATGAGAGAGTGGGCACCTTTGAGCAGAATGTTCAGGCCCAACTTGCTGACACCACCATGCGTATACACAACATGTCGCTCGAGACCGAAGCCAACAAGGATAAAATTTCCCAGGTGCAAGACCGCATGGAGAGTTTGGAGACCCGACTCGCGAAGCTCGAACGGGGGGACACAGCCAATCCGGAGGGCACCCGCCCGCGAGGACCCGCCTTGATCATGGGTGGTTTCCACCCCGACACCGAGGCCGACAAGGTGATCGAGCAGGCAAAAGTACGTGGAAACCCTCCGCCTCGACCTGGACACCCAAGGCACCTTCGTACCGGGGGTCAGGAGAGGATACTGCATCATCCCTTTGATGAAGAGGGACACCGAGAGTGAGGAGGACCAACGTGCTCGAGTCCAGGCCTGCATCCGACACATCCGCAACGCCAACATCTCGGTGGGCACCCGCCAAGACGGCACGCCATCGCAACTCTGGCTGAACATATCGCAGCCACCAGAGAAGAGGCGGAAAGTTCAGGTGGCTGCTAAATGCAAGCGACTCCTGCTTGAACTCGGAGCACTTCCCCAAGACATCGACACGGAGTACTCGACCGGACAAGTGTGGTTCAAGTCCGTACGAGTGGCCTCGGCAATCAATCTGGGGGCACCCAGCCAGTCGACAACCACGGGCACACAAGGCTGGATCGACCTCCCCACCATCTCGGCGAAGATTCATGTGGACGTGGGCAGAGTCAAGACGCACTGGCAGCAACTGGCCAGTGCACTCAAGTGATTTGAGGAGGAGGCCCAGAACATGTGCGACCCGTTTCACGCCTTGGCGACAAAAGAAGCCAAGGGGCACGCACTGGTTGCTACCTGGAATGTTGGAGGAATGACGCCACCTAAGGTGTTGGAATTCCTGAAGGCTTTCAAGGGGCACACAACTTTTTCTGCGGGCAACCCGCCACTCTGTCAGCTAACCGTGGTCCTGCTCCAGGAAATAATCGTGGAGGCGGGCATCTTCTTTGAAGACGATGGCACGTGGACCTTGGTTAGCGGAAAAAAGGCAGGAGAGTGGAGAGGAACCGCGATCGCCTTTAAAGACTACAATCACCACAAGGCCACCATTCACCCAAGGGGCAGCTCTGTTGTTCTGACTCGTGGCACACACAAGTGGGGCGTTCTTTGCGGTCATATACCGCACCACGCCACGATGGACGAGACCTCCGCCATACTGGCGGACTGGCTTCGATGTGAAGCCCTCACGCAGAACAAACTCATCATTGGGTTGGACGCTAACGAGGTCTTCCTCTACAGCGAGTGCACACCAGCTTTTCCCAAAGGCACCTCCGGGAGGGGGGACGTCATCCTCGACTGGATCGCCAATACCCGCTGCAAATTCCCGGAGCAGCAACTGCATGAGCCGTCGCATTTCCCGTACTCTGGCCAACGCCCACGACGGCTCGACTACCTCGTGTCGAGAGGGATACACCTTCAGGGAGTACATGTCGGTGACCACCGCGACCGAGCGCATTCCGACCACGAGCCCATCGTCGGCGCGCTTCCACATGCCACCCGGGACAAGACCTACCACAAACACTGGGGCCCGAGGCACCTCGCCAAGAACTTTGACGCATGCCTTTCCAGGACCTACCCTCAGGGAGACGGACACCACGCCATCGCAGCGATATGCAAGGACATGACCAACCCTGGCAGGGCCATGGACAAGTTCGTTGAGAGTGCCGAGCTCAAAACCAAGCGGAGACTGGCGCAACACACCCCACCCGGCATTGAAAGAAGGCGTGTCTGGAAAGAAGTACAATGCCTTCATCGCCAAGAACTCAAGCGGTGGCACACCAAGCTCAACGAGGCGGCCAGCAAAAAGGACTGGCGGGCCTATCGAGCGCAAAAACAAATGGCCCGCACACGGGAATGGGAGCACTACCTCCTTGACGACGAGCACTGGCAGGACACCATGAAACAACACTTCGAGGGCATCTTCTATAAGGGGGACCCCAGGGCCGTGACGTCCCAGATGCACACCATGCGGGACGAGTTGACCCGACTCTGCAAAACCGCGACATGGCACCCCTTCACGGTCACTGAGCTCCAGGTCACCCAAGGTCGATGGCCACGGCGAAAATCAGCAGGACCCGATGGCATCATTCACGAGGCCCTCTCAGTACTCATGCAGAACGACAAGTGGATGCACAGAATCCTCTATGTGATCAATGACGCCTTCTACCGAGGCACACTCCCAGAGCCCAGAGCTCCTTGAAAAAGGAGTAACGGTGCTGCTCCCCAAAACCGGGGCACCCGATGGCTGGCCAGACACACGACCAATAACGGTGTCATCGGCAATGTTGAAATGGATTGCACAGCTCGTCCTCTACCGCACCCAACACCTCTTCGACCCAATCTGCAAACTCCAATGGTGCGCTAAGGGCAGACAGTCTGTCGAGATGCTGCTCGTCATTCGAAAGATAGCAAGGATGGCACGCGATTGGGGTGGACCCTTTTACTTGATAAAAATCGACGTGAAGAAGGCTTTCGACTCCGCCACTCAGACCAGCATGGGACGGCTCGTGCAAAAGCACATTGGAGAACGAGGGCACCCCTGGGAGGCTCGCATTTGGTTGTCTCTTCTGCATGCCACGGAGATGAACATCCAGTTCGGTGGCACCAGCATAAAGATAACCCAAAGCAACGGCGTTCGCCAGGGAGGACCAGACTCGCCAGTCGCATTTAGCGCCCTGGTGGGGGACACCCTCCTTCAGGTTCAATCGAAGGTGACCATCAGCGCTTGGGGACCCAACGAAAAGTTGCCCCCGCCGCCGCAGCATACCTCCGGGTACATGGACGACGTCTACGTTTGGGGAGAAAATCCCCGACACGTTCAGCAAGTAGTCGACCTGCTTGAAAAACTCTTTGCGGAACACGGGCTCTACGTGAACCACAAGAAGACCTGCGCCATTGCCAACGAAGGGGAACACGTGTTTACAGTCGGAGGACATGCAGTCAGAACGGAGGGACCAGACCATGCGCTCACGGTGCTTGGGTCACCCGTCTCTTTCGCGGGCGGATCCGCCATCCTGGCAGCAGAGCTTTCGTCCCGCGCTCGCAAGGCTTGCTTTGCCAACAGGAAGACGCTCTGCGCGGACACGCCGATCGCAAGCCGACTCAAGGTGCACTCGGCCATAGTCCGAGAATCAGCCCTGTGGGGAGCACCCACGTGGCCGCTACACGAGTGCGCCAACAGCATCCAGTTGCAGCAAGTGCGGACCATGCTGAAGATGCCCAGACGCCCGGGAGAAGATTGGGTCACCTGGAACATGCGGACACTCAGACAGGCCAGTCTGATGCTGCACAAACATGAATGCTCCAGATGGAGCACCCGAGCGCTTGAAGCAGTATGGCGACTATGGGGCCACATCGGACGGGCTCCGGATCGCACCACACTTGAGCTCCTGACGTGGAGAGGCATGGATTTCTGGGCTTCAGAACAACGCAAGTCGCCGACAATCGGTGCACGGCATGCTGGCCAGTTCAACCCCCACGCTAAACCGGGTTTCACCCTGTAGATCTGTCCGGAGCTAGCCGACGGGCGGGGGGGGGGGGTTGTTGTCTGAGGACTTGGATCTTAGGCGGATCCCGTGCTCTTGCTTGAAAGAAAATAATTTCCTCGGTCAGATTTTGTTTTCTCCTTTTGGCATGAATTTCTTTTAGTGATTTCGAACCATCTTATTTCAGATCAGTCTTGCCGTATCGCGAAGTTGAAGCGTTGAACAGGTAGCCACGTCAGGCTCAGGCCGTGGCCCGATAAAATTTTGTTTAGGAAGGGAGCAAGAGTCTCCCTCTCGGGACGTGCTATGGATCTCGAGTGGCCTCCCCTCCAAGGGGAGTTACTGACGAAGCTGAAGTCATGTTTTGCAAGCCCCCGGCAGCTGCATTATGATTTTGATGATAGCGAAGGTGCACGGAAATTGGTAGAGGTGCTGGTGCCAGGATTGGGGGCAGGCAATGTTCAGCTTGCAGTGGATCAGTTGGTCAAATGGCATAAGGAGGGCGCGAGCTCAGTGTTGCGCGCCAAGAGAATTTCAAGAGCAGGTTTGTCGGAGAGCTTGGTGGGGCAGCATACCGTCCATGCATCCACGATTTCAGAGGCATACGATAAACTTGCACATAGCAATCCTCTCTCGCTATTGCCTGCGATCGAAAGGGCCAGAAAGGCAAGGGAGAACAGCGTGGATCCATCAAAGAGGGCGGCTGAGGAAAGGGCTGCTAAAGCCAAGTATGCCACTCTCTTGTACAGCTTCTTGGTTGAGGCGAGGGCACCAATAGTGGATATCTTGAAGGAAGTCACCGATTCTGAAGAGGCATGTGTGCGCATCTTTGGAACACGAAGGTCAAAGACTTTGAGGAATCGCTTTCACTCGTGGGGCAAGTTCGCGAGATGGCTGGAGACTTCGAAGGGCCGCGTCTGGCCTGCCGGGCTGCAGGATCTCTTGGATTATGCTACTGAAGCTGTGAAGGAGGGCGCTGGTAAGACGACCATAGATTCTTTTTCAGCGGCACTTTCTGTTCTGGAACAGGTCGGACGTTTCGGGGAAGGTGATATGCTGTCAAGAGATCCAACGTGGATTTCGTACAGTAAGAATGTTACTGCAGAGCTGGTGGAGAAGGGGCCGATGTTGCACCAGGCGGCCCAGCCTACAGTAGCGATGGCGCTTTCACTCGAGCTTTACGTGTTTGACGAAGATAGAGCAAGATATGCAAGGGCATTGGCTTTTGTTGCACTTCTGATGCTATGGGGGAGTATGAGGTCCGATGACGTTCAGTGCATGAGGCCAGAGAGCATGCGACTCACTATAGAAGGACTGTCTTGCAAACTTTGGAAGACAAAGACGACGGGCCCAGATCGAAGGATCAACATGGTGCAGGTCTTCATATCCCGCAAGGCCAGTCTCTCTGGCTTGGATTGGCTGGCAAAGGGGCATGAGATTTGGTCAGAGATCAAAGACAAAAGGGATTTCTTGGTTTTGCAAGCTTCAGAGGATTGGGAAACCTGCGGCAACAAAGGGGTCGATGCCCCTGCAGTGTCACTCTATGTGCGAAAGATTTACAAGGAGCTTTGTGTTCCGCGCTGGGTCGAGGGCCGCTGGATACAGAACAAGGAGCGTCTGTTACTTCCGGGGGATTGTGCGCTGCATTTCTCTGGACATTCAGCGAGGAACTTTCTTACTTCGATCGCTGCAGCCATCAGGGTTCCTAAGGACGACAGGGACTTTCTTGGACGCTGGAAGGTCGGTGGAGGTGGCTCTGCTGACTACACAAGAACAGCTCGGCAAATAGTGCATCGCATCCAGGAGCAGGTTGCAGAGACTGTCTTGCTTGGGAGAGAGCGGGGCTACGTGGAGGCTGATGCTTTGGATGCATTGCAAAGTTTCGCAGAAGAGCGAGGCGAGATTGGTGCCGTGGTCAGGGCAAGGCATGAGCTTGTTAGAGCAAACAAAGTTGGGGGAAACCCCCGACTTGGCGGGCGCTACCCGCCCCTCTACATGCAGAGCATCCCCGGACCTCATGTGATCACTGAGGAGGCAGCGGAGGACCAGCCGGAAACCGCCGCTGCACCGAAAGGGGAGGCTAAGTACTTTATCAGTGTAAGTAAGAAGACAGGATTCCGCAGACTGCATGTGAATCACGCGTGCTATGTAAAGCCCTTCAAGTGTCAGGATGTCGTATACCTTGATCAGGTTGCTGCCACGGATTTCGATGCAATTTGTAAGGATTGCAAGCTCAGAATCAGGTCGATGGCCGATGACAACAAGGCCGAAGACAGTAGCTCAGGGGAGGCAACCACTTCCTCGAGCGATGAAGGACTCCTTTAAGGCTTGCTGTTGACCTTGATCGCAGGCTTGCAACGGTTTCGTGGCGTAGATCCCACTTGACTTGAGCTGGTTTTGGAACATGCTCAAAAGAGGAGTTCATGCCAGTTTGAATCGACCGTCTTTGAAGTTCTTGTCGCTGACAGACGCACTGCTTTATGTACCGAATTGAGCGCTCAGGCTGTTGTGGGTTGCGCGCAACGACATTTACTGATCTCTGCAGTGCATCAGGGTTCAGACCTTGGGAAGCTGAAGCAAAGGCCTGAGGGCGCTCAGCGGGGAAGCCAGACCGTAGGCTGCAGAGCAAAGGCCTCGAGGGAGGCGCTGAAGATCCGCATCAGGGATGGCAGTCACAGAGGCAGAGATGCGTGAGAGAGTCAACAGTGTCGATGCCGATCTGCAATATGTATTGCAGGAGGCCGGGGCATCACTTGCCACACAGTATGCAGTTTGCAACGTGCACAGCACACTTCGCAGATTCCAGGCTATCGCTGATGATCGTGCAGGTTCGCGCACGGCTGCGAACACAGACTTTGGAGTGCCAAGAGACACGCCTGCAGGGCGTCAGCAAACGGCTGCTATAGTGGCAGCGTGGGAACTTGCAAAAGAGATTAGCTCCAAAGAAATTGAACTCCGGGCGGAGGCCCGTGCACTCAATCAGCCCAGGATCTTGCAGACCCAGGAAAGGCAGGCCATGCTGCGCGCGGTTTCGGCCGCCTATGGCAAGCTCAACGAGGCCGAAACACCTAGTGCAGAGTACTTGGCTTTGAAAGCAGAGGAGACCGAGCAGAATGAGCCGACTGCGGCACAGCTTGATACTATCACTTCGAAGCGAGATTCTCAAACAGCCACCATCCAGTCTAGTGTTGATCCTGCAGGACATTTGCGCATCACGAAAACCAAGCAGAAAGTCGAGATGCCTCAAAACTCTGAAGCTTACCGGAGAGTCTTGAAGATTGAGGGTTACTCTTGGTTGGCAATGCAGTCCAGGTATAAATCTAAGACTTGGCTTCAGGGCTTGACGATGGCAGATTTCACCAAGTTCGTCGACTACATTCTCGGCGAGCGGGTCGCGGGCCTCAGATTGGAGCAGGCCACGGGCTACGACAGTAGCCACAATGCACTCTTCCGACCCCCATGGGGGATCGTGCTTCGCTATGAATACAAGTTGAGGAAAGAAGCTTTCAGGCTAGTGAACGATGAAGGTCAGACGCTTCAAGATGCTTTGGCAGCCGTGACTAAGGATACCGAGCTTAAAGAAGTTCATTTTGTCACTCCCCTAACCTTGACCGCTTTCCCCATGCCATCAAAGTGGACACGCAGGGGGGAGAAAGGTGACAAAGGTGGCAAAGGCAAGGATCCTAGGACAGGGAAAGGCAAGCAAGGGAAAGGCAAAGGCGAAGAGAAAGGTGCGTTCAGAGGCCTACAGCTCGTCTGGAGGACACCGGATGGCAAAGACATCTGTTTCGCATACAACAATCAGGGTTGCCAGGGCAACTGTGGGCGCGCACACGTGTGCAGGGTCAAGGGCTGCTATAAAGAACATCCGGCCATCCGCCACCAGGAGCTTTCGCAAGGCAACAACAAAGCCGAGTGACGGTCCCCAGCCGCTGGCCTCAAAATCATGTGCTTCGGTCTGCCCTCCGTGCAGGCATACCTTGCTTTGCAGCCTGGGGTCAGCGAGTGCAGGGGATACGAGTTTCACGATCCTGACTTGATGACTGATCGGTTTTGGGATTCGATTCTGCAATGCTTGTGCCAGGGAGATTGGATTTTCTTGGCAAGCCCGCCACTTAAAACGATGTCGCGGGCCAGGCATAAACGGCCAGGGCCGGCCCCACTCAGGTCGGAAGCCTGGCCCACAGGTTTTCCATGGTTGTCAGACGACAATAGAATTAAAGTTGAGAAGGCAAATTCCTTGTTCCAGCGATGTGTAGAAGCTGCATCCGCCTGTGCATCCGCAGGAGGCTGCTTTGTGCTTGAGAGCCCTGAGGATTTGGGTGCCACCAAGGACGGTGAGCGGCCAGCGTCATTTTGGCAGTTGCCTCAGGTGCGCGACTTGCAAGTCCAGCATAATGCCACAACTTGGGCATACTTCCGTTGTGCGTTCGGTGCACCCACTGCTAAACCCAGCCGCTTCCTCTGTAATTCCGAGAAACTAAAACATCAGCTGCCACCAAACAGCGTTTGGCCCACATTCGATGCGGAAGGCTGCTACACGGGCCCGCTTCCACCTCGCTGCCCTCACAGCCATCATCCGAAGCCTTTGGTAGGTCGCCAAGGTCGTGATTGGAATACGGCCTCCTCTGTCGAGTGGCCGACAGCTCTGTGTGATTACCTCTTGCATTCCATCCTTCCTTCGGTGCTGCGCACAAGGGGGGACGCAGGAAGGAATGCTGGCCCGCCAGAGGGTCCCTCCGTTTCGGTTTCCCCGGCTGCTAGTGGTTTAGGCCCTCAGGCAGATAGTGGTTTAGGCCCCGATTCTTCGGAAGCACATGCCCACAACGCCGAGGCTTTAGCTTGTGAGATCCTTTCGAAAGATGAGGCGCCCCGCGCCGAGGACATCATTCGATTGTACGAAGCTTTGCCGAAGGAGGTGTCAGCCCGTGACCCTGAGGGCCGCATCCCGAGCTCCTTCTCCACGGGTGCCTACAACAAGGGAGGCTTGACAGGCCTGAGGAAGGCATGCCACGATTTCCCGCTGGCCACCAAGTGCTTGGTCCGTTTTGTTCGAAGCATGCGTCCTTTCCATCCTTTCAGCACCATCAGCATTTACGACAATGTGTGCACTGCCCTCCATAAGGACAGCCGCAATGCTTGCTGCGAGAACTTGATAATCCCTCTTACCCAGTTTTCTGGGGGCGAGTTGTGGATGCAACAAGACCAGGGTGCTACACCTCAGAACTTTGGGGGCTCTGAAGTGTTTGGGACGGCAGTGCCGATTCCCCCAGAAGGCTTGTGCTTCGATGCTCGTGGCATCTTGCATTGCACTATGCCTTGGAAGGGCCGCCGACTGATTGCCGTCGCATTCACGGTGTCGAAGACTGAGGAGCTGAAGAAAGCGGATGCGCAGCTTCTTGAGGACCTTGGAATCAATTGCCCTTCCGCAAGCCAGTTGACAGGGAGGACCTTGGATGCCGGGGAGCTGTCATCGACGGAGAGCTCTGAGTCGGAACACCCGTCTGGTGGCAAGGACCAGCAAGCAGACGATGTCTTCAGACCAGAGCTTTGTGGCAACTTCGGAAACCCCTTGATGCTGGAGTGGGACGGGAGAGAGTCGCCTATCACTGACGGCTATGGCCTTTGTTCTCCAACGCGTTGGCATCCTGCCTCCCGTGGAGCATCGCTACCAGAGAAATCAAAGGACCTGTCGAGACGCTTGAATGGCTTGGTGCAGCAATTTGTCGCAGAGCAGGTGCCAGATTGCCAGTTGCTGGCACTCAAGTTGGCCACCGGACAGATTCTGGAATCGCCTTTCGAGGAGGGTGCAATGCGACGCCTTCGCGAGGACTGGGCTGCACTTGTATGTGAGACGGATGGAGCCAAACACGAAGGTTTGCTGGAAGTTCCTGATCCACAGCCTTTCTACCTTCGGTTGCTCTCGCACACATCGCGCTTGCTGGAAGATCCAGACTGGAAAATCTTGACAGAGGGCGAGGAGTGCTTTGAAAAGGGTGTCCCATTGGGCTACGACGAGACCATACCTAGGGTCCCGCAGGTTTTCGATCGGAAGGTCAAATGGAGAAAGCTTGATGAGAGCACCTTCGAGGCTGTCAAAGAAAATTACCAGAGCGCGAAGCTCACCGTTCAGGAGATGGAGCTGAAGTTCAGGGAGGAGGAGAAGCTTGGGCGGATGTACCCTACCACTTACTCCGCTTTGGCAGCCGAGCGTGGAGCGGACAGGGTTCGTATAGCGGTGATGGGGGCGGTCGCCAAGCCAGACGGCAGCGTCCGTCCCCTACATGATGGCACCCACGGGGTGAGGATCAACAATGGCATTCGCTTGCTGAACCAAACGGCCACGCCGGGCCCTGCGGAAGTGGCACACGCAGTGAGCTCTGCTAAACGATCGCGCGAGGCAGCCTTCGGAATCTCAGCTGACGTGAGTGCAGCACACCGGCTTGTCAAACACAGGCGTCGGGATCACCCCTTGATGGCATGTAAAGCAGATTCTTCAAGCACCGTCGTTTGGGTCAATGTTGTAGGAACATTCGGACTGAGCGTCGCTTCATTTTGGTGGAGCAGATTGTTCGGGCTCGTGGGCAGAACAGTCGCCCGAGCAATGCTTCAGGAATGGTTCTATCAACTTTGCTTCGTGGACGACATCCACGGTGTGTTCACTGGAGCACATAAGTTCCGAAATCTGGTGATGTGGTTCGTCTTGTACCTTGCCTTAGGGACCCCTTTCTCCTTTAAGAAGTTTCGGGGAGGTTTTAAGGTTCCTTTCGTAGGCTTCGAGCTCGACTACCGATCGTGGCAAGTTGGCATGTCGGACTCTCGAGGAGCTTGGATCGTTTCGTGGATCAAGGATGCCAGGACCAAACGCTTCGTGGTTCAGGTCCGACTCTTCAGGGAGTTCCTTGGCCGGTTGGGGTTTGTTTCTAGGATAGTGGTTTGGATTAAGCCTCACCTTGCTCCACTGTATGCGTGGGCATCAGCGGTGTCCCGGAGCACCGTCGCCAAGTTGCCCGAGACTGTCATCTTGACACTCCAGTACTTGGAGAAGACGCTTGATGAGTACACTTTTAAGGTTAACCCATGCCGCAAACCCAAACACCAGGTCGCGGGCTTCAGGACAGATGCAAAGTGTGCCGACGGATTCGTCGTGTTGGCCGGTTGGGAGCTAAGTGATGACACCAAAAGTTCAAAATGGTTTTCGCTGCGCTTGACACCGAGTGACGCACCATACTTGTTTGATCAGGAGGGGAAATCACAATGGGCATCAGGCTCAGCAGAACTGCTGGCAACATTGGCGGCCCTTCACATCTTCGGATACTTGACCGCCTCTGTGGACAGAAAGGAACTGGACGTCGAGTGCGCGGCGGACACAGACAATCAGGGCAACTCGAGATTGCTCAAGAAGGGGTCCTCAACCAAGTGGCCCCTGATGTTGATCAACATGCAGTTGTCTGATTTGCTTCTTCGCTCTTCCTTGAAGCTCCTCCTACGGTGGAGGCCACGCGATGAGAATCAGTACGCAGACCAGCTTACGAATGAGATTTTCACTAACTTCTCGGACGAACATCGCATTGCATGCACATATTCGGATTTGCCTCTTGCGCTCCTGCATCAGTTGTGGGAGACAAAAGAAAGCTTCGACTCAGCACGAAGGGCTCAGGCCGTGCTTCAGCAGGATGCCTCGGGGCATCGTCCTCAGAAGAGGAAGGCAGAGAAAACACCTTGGTAGTGCGTCCCTGAAGGGGAAAGGGGGTGGGATGCATCAACATGCATCCGCCCTACCAAGGGCACCGCGAGACTACCAACCGCTGCGAATAAAATGAGTGTCGTCCAAGTGCTCCTGATTGCTCGACGTATTTCCTTTTGCATGTCACATATTTATTCCAGTTGGATTCATTTGGAAGATACGATATCTGATTCTCATTTATAGAAAGACGTTTGTTTTAGTTTGCGAGGCTACTTTTGAAAGAACGGATAACCCCAACCTCTAACCACGAAGCTAAGCGAAGGACAGGCTAAACCGGGTTTCACCCTGTAGATCTGTCCGGAGCTAGCCGACGGGCGGGGGGGGGGTTGTTGTCTGAGGACTTGGATCTTAGGCGGATCCCGTGCTCTTGCTTGAAAGAAAATAATTTCCTCGGTCAGATTTTGTTTTCTCCTTTTGGCATGAATTTCTTTTAGTGATTTCGAACCATCTTATTTCAGATCAGTCTTGCCGTATCGCGAAGTTGAAGCGTTGAACAGGTAGCCACGTCAGGCTCAGGCCGTGGCCCGATAAAATTTTGTTTAGCCCACCCAACCCACCCTGGAATGCCAGAGCATTTCCGAGAATAGACCGTTCCATGCCGCGGGGGGGTGGGATGCATCAACATGCATCCGCCCTACCAAGGGCACCGCGAGACTACCAACCGCTGCGAATAAAATGAGTGTCGTCCAAGTGCTCCTGATTGCTCGACGTATTTCCTTTTGCATGTCACATATTTATTCCAGTTGGATTCATTTGGAAGATACGATATCTGATTCTCATTTATAGAAAGACGTTTGTTTTAGTTTGCGAGGCTACTTTTGAAAGAACGGATAACCCCAACCTCTAACCACGAAGCTAAGCGAAGGACAGATGGATGTAGAGCGACACATCTGCAACAACGCCGGATCGACCAAATGGTGGGTTGTGGCACAAGACAGAGCAAATTGGGAACAACGCCTGGAGACTTTCTTGGCTAAACATGACATCCCCTGGGCCACCGGCAAACAGCCAGCACTCACCAACCTTGCCCCAAACGAAGAACCGGTCGGAGGAGAGCCCGGGCCATTGCGAATGAAGGCTGACCCAGCCAGACATACAGTGACCCCAAGCACCAACTCGCCCCTCGGCCCCTTCTTCCCATCTTCGCAACAGCCCCACTACCAGCTACACCACCAGCACATGGTTTCACAGTGTTTCACGCAACCGGACACAGCTCCACTACCGCCACTTTGCAGACAGGAGACAACAGCCGATACAGAGAGAACAAGGAGAGAGACCTCACCCTTGCCAGAGTACCAGTTCCATGTCATGACAGTCATGTACTTGTTTTTCTGCGAGTGATGTGCACATGCCCGCGGCGGGAACCTCAGCCTTCAGTGCCCGCTGCTCTATAGCTCGAAGTGCACTCTGAGAGCACCTGCCTAAGCAGTACCAGCCTGCCTGAAGACCACCATGAAGCTCGCTTTCTTGGTGGCTCTATGGATGGGCTACCGCCTCTACGAGTACGGAGGCACCCAAGCAGCCCCTACCACGAGAATGGGAGATCCCAAGCTGGGGACGCCAGCTCAGACCGGCCAAAGCAGGCCGAGGCAGCTCGGGCAAACAAGGGCGGCCGAAGAGCTTCCCAACCCGACGACGACGACACCAGAAGACGACCAGCCGTCCAGTGCAGCGACGGCCAACAGCAACACGCAGGCACACCATGCAGCAACCAGCGGCGCAGCAGGTGAATGGACAGACCAGACCACCGCCTACGACAGCCCACCGCATGACACACCAGCTCAAGCAGCCGCAGGGCAGATGGAGGCAAGCAGCAGCCCCACAGCCACCGCCGACGGAGAGGTCAGTGCTACGCAAACCTTCTACCCACCAGCAAGGAGCCGGCATGCTCCCCACCGCGCCACGGTGGACCCACCACCACAGCAGCCACCTCAACCACTACGACCGAGCATGCAACCAGCACTGCTACCACACCAGCCCGCCGACAAGCCTGCCCGCAGCTCGCCACAGCCACTACCACAACAACAGCCCACACCTACACAGCTACACTCAGAGAGCGTCGACACCACAAAGCAAGCTGCCCAGCAATGGGCGGTCCCCCCGCACACTACATCTGCCACGGACACTGCCGACCCAACGCAACCCTCACTGTGGACATCAGACCCGTCGGAGGCCACCACCCATTGGGCGGAACCCCCGTTTCCGGCACAGCAGGTGCCACCCACTGACCCAGCAGCAGCAAATACGGCAGCCACCTGGGATGCCCTCTCAAGAGCCACCTACCTGCACAACACCCCCACGCAACCCGCGGCGACACACGCCCCACAGCAACAGCAGGCCCACGACGACACCGACCCCGCCAGCGGATCGCAACACAATCAGCACCACCAGCACAGCCAAGGAGGAGGACGAGGGCCACAGAGGCAAGCAACCCGCGACAGAAAGGAATGGATCAAATCCATGTTCCTGAAGTACAACCTTCACAAGCCCAATGCCATGAGCTGGATCGATGCTGAACCGATCCTTTGGAGGTACTGGTACCTACAACCTACCTCCCCAGCCCCTCCCACAGACATACGGGAACTCCTCCAAAAAGCTGACGCATGGATGAGGGGAGACGAGCCTTTGCAACCACCGACACCAGGCAGCCAGTCAGACACCTCACAAGCCACCACAGCCAGAGCCGCAGCCACCACCCAAGGGGGTGGACCAACCCAAGGCACCAAGCGCAGTTCTCGACTAACTCCGCTGATCCCGTGGAGGAGTTCGTCTTCTCCCGCAGTCGATGCCTTATAGTGAAACTCTGTGGAGCGATGGGAATATATATCTGTTTTTCCGATCGGACGATCCGGTGCGATCTCTGGGATGTTCCAGCGCATTCCAACGCCCCTCCGGTGATCAGAGTGTCCGATCGGATGGATGAAGATCCGAGATTTTCCAGTTTTGATCTGTGGCTGACTCCGAGGTTGCGGTCGCACGAAAAGGAGGGAATTGTGCGATGGGCTGTTCATCGAGTTCACGGGCGGTGGAGGGAGGACTGGTCTACGAGTCTACCTATATGTATACATATTTCTGTATGTATGTCTTTAGATAGTCATAACCCACAAGACATGTAGGGAACGCAGGAGCAGGGTGGGGAAAGACAACCCACAACGCAGGGAACCACAGGGCCCCTGGCCCCTTCCACTTTCCCCTCCCCTTCGACACAGATGAGAATGATGGCCATGATGTTGTGCACAATGACGTTGATGTGCTATTCCCAATGTGGCTGTTCGTGGTACCTCTGCTCTTATGTTGCCCCGGGCTTCGGCACCGCATGTTCACTGCTTTATTTAGTCCAAAATCGTGCTTGGGTTGTGATGACACACACACAGATACAAATGCTCTGTTTCATATCGACAGATATACAGACACATCTATGTATGTGAGACAAAGGGTCACTTGGAGTGCTTTTCTAAGTTTGGAACATCCTCAGCGTTACTGAACTAGAGTACCTTTTTTATGTATATATGTTTGTATGTGTGTGTGTGTGTGTATGTATGTATGCATGCATGTATGTATGTATGTATGTATCTATCTATGTATCTATGTGTCTGTGTGGTGCGTTCCAAGCAGCAGCATTGGCACCATACACCTGGTGCTACCTGCTACCTATTCACTGTTGCCGAGTCGATGGCATGGCACCACTATTGCATACAATGCCAGTCCGAAACTTCGTGCTGATTTGGCCGATCGGAAAATTGACTCCGAAGGCAAGCCTATGTTCCCGATTGAACAAGCCGAAATCACAACTGGCCTGTAGCGCCTCTGAGTGAATCGTGAATGCTGTCCTCGGTCTCGCGCACTACTTCCGAGTCAAGCCGAGGAGCCGCATCGCGGGTTGCAGTACATGGCTTGAATTCAGCTGAGCTGGAGGCAAATGTGCAGGCTCGGGTTTTGCAATTGTGACAGCTGGCTGTCCAGTCCGGGTCAGCTTACTCCTTGCGCTCACTGCGTGTGTACATTGACAAGTTGCATGCGTGCTTGTAAGCAGGACAGTGTCAAAGTTCTTGGATGATCCAACTAGCAGGAATCGGTTTGTGCTGGCTGTGTGGTAGGCCTTGTTCTTGTAAGGATTGGGTGCTGGGTTCTGAAGTTCTTGCAGCGTCGCCCAAATGATTTCCATGTACGCGGAGGCAAGTGAGCGCCATGTGCAGGACACCGGGGGAGCTTTTAAGATGAAAACAATCGGAGGTTAGAGTACGGTTAGAGGGTGTCTTGCAGAGATCATCATCACGAGCTGTTGCTCAATAGCTTCCACACGGCGTGTGAGGTGTTTGGCGAGCCCACCAGGCATACTGGCAGTGACCAGCCGCGTGTTGTTCAGACCAAGAGGCCAATAAACAATCGAAGAGCGAAGCTTGAAGCCTGATTTCTCATTTCGTCAGCAGGGCGAGCTTTGCAGTAGTAGTCTCTGAGCCCTGGCGGTTTTGCTGCCAGGATCTCAATTCGAATCCTGTCCTGCCCTGGAGCTCCGGCAGTTTTGACATCGTCACGCTTGCGCTCAGTGCTCCTTGGAATGTCTCGTTTTGAGGACTGGCCCTTAATGCCCTGGGCTGTCTTTTACGCTATCCAGCAAAGATGCTCAAGAAAGAGGTGGTGTGCTCCTTTGACTCGGTGGCATCTCTTAGCTTCGGGCTTCAGGTTGACCTTATAAGGGGAGCTTTGAGATGACAACATGCTGAAGATGTTCTTTCTTGTCTGCGACAAACGGGCTTCGGTGCTTCGGCCGGCCTTGTCGGCTAGTTTTGGACATTGCTGAGCGAAGCGAGTTTGAAGCGGAGCCTTCCCCCATGCGGTAAGATAACCGCTGATCTCGCCTATGCCAGAATGCTATTGAGGTTGTAGGGTCTGCATTCCAGGAGTCTGCCAGAGTATGCATACCGGATTACCGGATTTCCGCTGTTTCTACTTCGGCAGTTCGAAATCTTAAAACATAGCGGCACACCGCTTGACCAGAAGGGATCTGTGTCCTGGACCGACACCTCAGCTCAGGTGCAGTATCTTACCGACCCCCGCGCCGTCTTCACGGAGATCAATCGTGTGCTGAAGCCCGGTGGGCTCGCCGTGGCCGAACGCCTGCACTGGAGGGTCAACTCATGCAAATCCTGAGGCAGACCCAATAATTTTGAATGTATGTTCAGGGTGCGCATCAATGCTAGGGTACGAAGCCACAGCTTGTACTTCACAAGCAGTTCTGATTTGCAGTTGTGGCACTTGCATCCGATTGTGTTTTGCACAGCCTTGGCACTGCCGTAAGGTTGCCTTCTCCCATCGCGCATTCATTGAGAAGGCGGGAAAATCTTTCAGTGGGCACAGTGTATAAGAAACTTTGCAATTGCCAAGGCGGTGCAGGTTTGGGCAGCCGAGCCTGACGACGGCGAAGGGCACGCGCACCTCGTGAGTCACGGCCTGAGTCAAGTCCAATTCGCTTCTGAAAGACGTAAGTCCTCACTTAGTCACCAAACGCGTCTCTGAACGTTGGCTTTGACCTAGTCCCATGTGGGTTACCAGGCTTAGCAGGCAATTCTGCCCGAGCCTTATGAGGCCGCTACTTCCAGCACGGGCCATGTGGTGGCTGGGAGAAGCTGGCGACAGTGGCAGCTTGGACGCAATTGAAAGCTTTATGCACTTTCGGAGCGAAGGGTATTCCAGGCTTCCTCGGCTTCCTCGGTTCAGAAAGCACATCACCGACTGGCATGACAATGAGTCCTTGCTAACTTGCAGCCTTGAAGGATGTCAGCCCACAACATGGGGATCCAGTTTGGCTGGTGACGGCGGTGAAGCCGAATTCGCCGTAGCTCATGAAACATCATAGGAAGCTTCGGCGCTAGGGCCGCCAAACAACAATGCAGGAAGCTGGAGAGGACAAGGAATGCACTTGCTTCTCGGATCAACTTTTAATTTGCTTTGGGCCACAAGTCATGTGGCAGATTCTGCTAGGTGTCATCTTGAGGCAGCAGCGTCGACACAAAGAAAATGCGTCTACGAGAGCAGCAGCTCTGCCTAGCGGCGCTGCTGGCCCTACATCGCCTTGGCACCAACAGGTCGTACGTTTTGCTGAGATTCTTCCGATAGACGAAGCCTGGCTGCGCCTGGTTTTCGCTACTCCGTGCTTTGACGGAAGAGTTCCCCTCTGCTTCAGAGGGGTGTGAGCCAGTGAGAGCTGTTGGCTCATGATCCCTATCTTAGCTGCGAAGACAGCTCCAGGGCTGTCGAAATCATTCTGTTTCTATGTAGTCGTACAATTATGCCGCAAGGTTCTGAGCGAAGGGACGGCCGGCTTTCAACCGAAACCCTGGGCAGAAACGCCTCGTGACCATCAGAAGCATCTTCCCTAGCTTGCCCACCTTGCGGGATTCTTAAATTACCAGCAGGAACATCGTCTCTGCATACAAGGAGGCTTCTCGCGTATTCGCCTGAAAAAGGTGCAGTTGAACGTACGCGGGCATGTCAGGAGTCAAGAGCAACGGTGTCCGCACTTCTTGCACGCATCAACCTCCAGGCTCAAGATCTGCACATGAACGGACACGTACACTTAGCAATGCCAAATATTACCGACCCGCCCAGAGAATGCTTTAGACATGCCCCAAGCCCTAATCCAGCATGCGTTCGGTTGGTCTCTGAGATTTTACCAACGAGCACTCATTATCAGCTTGCATTGTGCTTTGTGCTCCTGAGACTGTTCCGTTGGAAGTTTCCTGGCGGCAAAATGGTGCGCGACTGAGCCTGAACTCCACGCTGCATATGTTCAAGCCCGGGGGGAACTCGTCCACTCATCTGTCGATGTGCAGAAAGCATTCGAGCATGGATGCGAGTCTGATCTGATTTCTTGTAGGGACTCAGTGGCCCCGCGCGGAACTAACACGCTGGGATTATCACACGAGGCGCATCATTGCGGGCTCCGCTCCACCGAGGAACAGGCCGCTGACGCGCCCGAGCCGGCACCGCCGGCTTCAAACGCTGCGATGTCCCTCCCGGTTGATTGGGATCCGCTTGGCACCCGGCTTGGGGTTTGTCTTCAGATCACAAGGCTTGAAATGCTCGTGAACTCAAGATCTCTCTTGCCTGTCTGCCACAATGCAGCGCCCCCCCAGGCGGTGCAGGAACACCTCTTGCTTTTGAATCCTTGCTCTCGAGCGCAAGCTGTTCCAGAGTTCCAGGCGAGATGCCCTTAAACTTCAACACGTTGCGCCAATTTTTGGTGTATACCTGCGGGGCGGTAGTCAACCCTAAGTTCGATTTGTTCGGTTCGAGGCATCTTCAGCTTCTGAGGTCGATGATGGCCGATGATATCGAGACTCTTCGACGCGAGTACAAAACACAGGCGGTTTGCCGGGAGGAAGAAGTGTGTGCCAGGCAGCACGTGAGCTTTCGTGTGTTTGGGGGGTTGTCTTAGAAGCATGCGGTGCGGCCTTCACTTTCTCGGGGGCCTTCACTTGCCTGTAGCCCAACTGACGAGGAGAGAAGAACCATGAGGGTTGTGGGCCGGTGGTGTGAAGCTGCGTTGCTGCGCTGCACTCTGCACTTTGCACATTACGTTGCCCGGGCCCTGGAGGTGGAAAATTCCCTGCCGTCTCCGAGACTTCAGCTACCTGGCTACGATTCAAAACCAAAAGGAGACCGGACCGACGCCTTGCAGGAAGTCGGAGTGGCGGTGTTTCGTTACAGGATATGGAGATTGTCGTTGGAAGTAGACAGTGGCCGTCAGTGTAACAGCATTCCAACATTCAGCAGCTAAGCCGTATTTCTGGCTGCCAACGAAGGGGATCCTTTAGTAACTCTATGCCCCTCATGTTAATGTCTTCGAAGCCCGAGAGCGCTTTCAGAGCTTTATGGTGGTTTGGTGACTCGGCGTACTTCGGTCCTCAAGTGTTTGACGGTTGGTTGTGACCTGTCTACCGACCATTTTTTTGAGTGTCTTTTCATTTCGTTTCGTTGCTTCCTAGTTGTGCTCTGCACTGCAGGTTGTCCGCACGAGTTTGACATGTTGTTTGCTTCTTGTGTGGGCTTCGCTTTCATCCTCACGTTGGTTTTGCTTGCTTTTACAGGTTTCGGTTTTGCGTCTGCCAGGTCCACGACATTTCACGACTCGAGTTTTCTGCGTTTTTTCTGAGAATGCATTTGGCCGGGGATTCCTTCGCTGCCTTTGATGCCTGCATTTTGTGCTGTAACGCCTTGGGGCCGAGAATCCATGCCCAAGGATGATTACGTCTATGTTCCCAGTGCATACTGTGGGACCAAGCATCCATGCTCGAATTCAGCCAAGAATGTGCTGTGAATTACAATGCAATGTGTCCACACACAGGTGCAGCAACTCAGCCTCCTACCTTGTTTGACGCTGTCAGGTTCAATTACGCAAAAGCACTGGTCTCGTCGTCAAGGCCCTTGTGGAAACAAATCTTAAGTATGGGAATTGCATGCTGCAACGAAGGGGCTGATGTGGAGCTTCCATGGCTTTTCCAGCTCAGCCGCCTGCACCCTGCAGCCCTGCAGGTATTCCGACATCGAAGAAGGCATTTTCCTCTTGAACGAACTGTTCGATGTCCCTTGTCTGTAATGTGGTTTCCGCCAGCTTCAGCCTAGGCATGCAAGGTGTCCAGCTTCAGAAGTTGTCCTTCTCGATTTGAATATTTGGGTTTCTCTGCTCCTCTCCGTCTGGGTGTCTTTGATGTTTTTCTGCTCGTCCGTCTCCGCGACTCTTGCCATGCTGTTCTTTGTGTCTCCGTCTGAACACGGGATCTTATGCTGAAAGCCTCGAGACGGCACTCCCGTTCCAGTGTGCCGGCCCTCTAGACTCTAGCTCTCTGACACAGACACGGACTCTCTTTCTGTGCTGCTGGCCCAACTTATCCCCCCGAGAGCCTAGCTTGTAGACCCGCTGGCAACGCAGCTTAGTGGCAAAGTTTGAGCCAAGCCGCATGAGTCTTGCCTTCGAAGGACATCGGTGGGACGAGGGCTGTGTAACAAAAGCAGCATAAAGTGGATCGCCGCAAGGTTGGTTTCCACCGCCCAGATTGTCTGCACACGCTCGCCCTGGCCTACCTCAAAGTCGGCAACTATGCCCAAGCCAAGGTGTCGGCTGGGCTCTGGAAAGGGCACAAAGTATCCCTAGTCAATTCTAGTGCTCTGCCTTGACCTGATGCTTACACTATGCAGAGCCCCTGGACACCCTTCTCGGGCCAACGCTTTGCTGCCTGTCGCCGAATATCTACCCAACGCAGACTTCCAAGGAGAAGCTTGACATTTGGATCCATCTGGAGCCGCAAAACTGTCGCAGACTCAGACTTAAGTAGGTGGAGGGAGGTGTCACCTTCGCGGAGTAGCAACTGTTCTTGGATGCCCCACGTCGATTGAAGCAATGACAACACCTCATATTTTGGACCCATGATAGTTTGATCGTCCGGTCAAGGAAGGCAAGGCGTGTAATAAACCGAGCAGCACTTGAGAAGGATGCTGGCAGCGAGGTTGTCACATAGTTCTCCGTGAGCTGGTCTCCGCTGCTGCAGCCTGAGGGGGGTTTCCACCCCCCTCTTCAACGCAAGCGGAGTACCCCACCCTCCCCGATCGAAGTGGTGGACGTACCACCCCGCCCTCTGACCCTTCTGAGATCCAGTGTCGGTAGTGGAAGTGGCCGTAGTAGTTGTCGTCTTATTACTATTAGTAGTAGTCATAGTCGTAGTCGTAGTCGTCGTAGTCGTAGTAGCTGAGGGCGTGGGGCGGGGGTGGTGGTAGTGAGGGGGGGCGGGGCTATTAGAACTCTCGGTTGTCAGCAGCCCGCACGAAATCGTGACTAGGGCAAACTCCGACAGGCGAACAACAACACGGCAGTTCGGAAAATCTTCTCCAGACCATGGGTTCTGCCCTTACAAGCCTAGACTTTCAGTTCAAACCCTGGCCTTCGTCGGGGCCCTTCGTCGGGGCGCTCGGACATCTCAGGTACGCTGCTTCCGGTGTTACAGCCTTACAAGCCTACCCTACATCACAAACGGCCCGAGATTTTTCTGCCGCATCGACCCAAAAATATCTAAGGCTAAGTAGGCAAGAGCCCTAAAAAAAAGCCCTGACATGTCACCAAGTTTTGGGGAGCTGATTTGCGTTGGCCTGCTACAGTCCTTCTGCAATGCAGATTTCTCGTGTGTAGGTGAAACCCGAAGCAAAGTCTAAACCAGCCTTAGCCCCCAACACTTCGAAGAGCAACTTGCGAGCAGCGCTAGAGCTCTGCCCTGCCTCAAACCCAGGTCTTCCAAAGCTTCTGCACTCCATAGCACGGACCTCAGCCAAAAACTTTAGTTTGGGCTTCAGGAAACTCAAAGATTTTGGGCTTGCGCATGGGATTGCAAGGACCAACAGGGGTCGGTCGTAAACCTGCCATCCCGTCTTATTAGGGTTCGTCATCAGACGCATCAAAGGCTCGGATAACCTCTAAGACCGCGAACCACTCTTTCACTCCTCGACAAACTCTACGGCGTTGGACCACTGGGTGCCTGACGACTTGTCCCACAAGTCACAGTCCTCGTGGCGGTTGGGACTGATTCCAGGTGTTCTACGATACCAGGTGTTCTACGGAGTGTCCAACATGTCCCCGTGATATCCGTGATCTTGACGCCTTTTCCTGGCCCTCGCAACCACTTCACAAACGCATGTGATCTTGTGAGGAAGATCCTGCTTCGCAGGTTCTCGAGCGCGCATCCCATGATGGATGGATCGGCATGGTGACCCTGGTTATGCTTGCTGCAGGCGTCCGTCTGGCATTGCCACAGAGTATCACAGAGTTACAGGGATTCTGCATTGCTGTGTGGACCTCGTGGCAGGTTGTGCCGTTGCATGGCTCCGCCGGCAAAAACAATGACAGCAACAAGTGACCATCGTAGGCTCCGGCATGGTGCCTCCCATGCCTACTGGGGCAGTTCCCGCTTTTCGTACAGCTTGGCCTGATCGTCACATATGCATTGGAGATCGACTCGCTTAGAATCCTGCAGTGCCAACTAGACGCATCCTTCGTGCTCTGATGCCTCGTTGAAGCGAGTGGATCCCAAAACCTCGTGCCCCTTCGCGGGAATCGAGGGGGCTTCTCAACAGAAGAGATAGCCGATTGACATGAAGTTTGAAGAACGAGCCAACGAGCTGAAGCCGACGAAACGAAACACCCCGCGTTCGAGCACAGCGGCCTGCAGATTGCGGACAAAGGTTGGAAGGCCGATTCTTCTTGCCCTTTCTCCTCCTAGGAGATGGCCTTCCCTCATGCAGATGGAACAGGTGCTTTCGTCTTGTCTTTTGTCGGTATCAGCCTTGCCAAAGATGTGCATCACCCTGGACCACTGATGGTGTCTGCAGCTACGGTAGATTCAATTCGAGGTCGCTGCCTCCATGCTACAACTTTTCCCACCATTTTTGTTCTCCAACCTGGATTGGCTAACGAAGGGTCTGGCAAAGCGTTCTTGAATCTTGAACTTGGCACAGCAATAGCAGCGGTCTAGCAATGGAGTTAGTAGAGGTTGGCTTCAAGGGCAATGTTTGTGAGGATAGAGCGCTCCTCTGATGAACCGTGGAGTCTGAGTCTAACTTCAGGCGCCTGTGCAGAACAGGAGTTCGTTCTCTGAGTCGATTGTGTCATGAACCGGAGCCGGCGATAGATCACGAGTAAGTCAGCAGGAGACGAGGAATCGTTTGAAGGTGGGAAGATGCAGGGAAGAAGCTGTTGGAGTCTCTTTTGGAGTAAGCTGCACCGATCCGAGTAGCGAATCCGGAAAGTCTAGAGATCACATCACATGGCACCACGACACTCATAGTTTCACCTGCGTGAGAAACCAATGGCCAGCAACTTCGATTAGCGTGGTTCTAGACGACTTGCTTGGTGCAGTTTTGCGAAGGTTTGCAACATGCTGGCTTCTAACCAACAATCCGTCCGATGCATTTGCTGTGGCCTCTAGTCTCGTTACAGTTTTGCAAACTGCAATCTTAGCCAAAGCGGTGCCTTCCAAAAGCACAAGCAAGCTTAATATTTGGATCTGGTTAGCTGTGAGTGAAAACCGATGAAGCCCGACTCCAAAAACTGTGACGGGCATCGGGATCGGGGATCCTGAAGCTCGAATGAATCCAGCGTTGTTCAAGATGCAATTAGTGCTACGAACTCGGCTAACTGGGCCTGCTGCCCTACGGGAACTACATAACACTTTAAGATAGAGTGCAGGCAGTTGGGTAAGCTCGGTCTCGGTCCAAGTAGCAGTGCAGACAATGAAGCATACCAGAAGAGGAGAGTCCGAAATACTTCCGAGTCTCACGCTGTTAAGAGACTCGAGGCTTTCCCTTTTGGCGGTTCCTAAGCTTTATCACCGTTCCGGCCAGCGTCTCAGCCACAAAGTCCAAAGCCCACGTTGCGAACAATCATGCGACACCGGCAGGAGCACATCCTGACGACAAGATGGCATCAACAATCTGTTCATTCCTGTTGTGTCCATGACCGGACCGCCCCAACTCGGAAGATTTGTAGCTGTTCTCCGCCGCCGAATTGCTCGAGTCTCAAGTCGTAGGACTGAAGACAGAGATAGTGGTGGGGCGGTCCTCCGAAAGATGATTCGTTTTCGCTGCCTCTGGTTGCTTGCATGGCGTGCTAGCCTCTCGGATTCGAAGCTCAGAATCACGGGTGCCAGGCAAGCAGCGTTTGGTTCGTTCCGCTATGATAACTTGGGTGTCCTCCCCATAAAGTGACGTATGACTCGGTGAGATCAGTGTTTTTTTGTCGGGCAGCACTGTGATGTGCGAACGAAGATGAAGGCTCGTACGCACCAAAGGCTGTCCTACAGAGGCCATCGTAACCAGCATAGCAGATATGTTTGCATGCTGGTTCGCAGGACCCTTAAGGAGCGAGTTTCTGGGGTCTCCGGCGGCTTGCTGTTCTCCTGTGATCCTGGAATGAAACGGTCGGAGCACCAGCATTCAGTTTGCCAGTTTCAAGCAGTCTTTTATTTGCTGAGAGGTTTTTCTGCAAGTTTAAAGATCGTTACATGCCTTGTGGCCAACTTCAACGCTCATGAAACCGCTCAACACCAACTCTTAAACCCTATAACCCGGTCCAAACATTGCATCCAAACATCGTACCCAGCGCGAACACCCCTGAACAACTCATTGACACCACTGTATACCAACCATTAAGACGAATCAAAACGAATGCATTCAACTATAACCCACTTTAGTACCGAGCTGTAACCCCGGTGAAAGCACTGACAAGCAGTTGCAAGACCCTTTCAATGACTATTACCATTGCAATTAGTTACTATGACCTTCACTAGTCTGTTAGTACTTATCCGTTTCTGTGTGATCGTATGGCTGGTGCAACTACGATTAGTCTTGCTATTGGTAGTACTATTACTCTTGCTATTGCTATCACTGTCGCTGTCACTATTCCTGCTACGGTTAATATTCCTGGTACTCCTACTGCTAGTTAGTAGTAGACGTACCTCCGTGATTACTACTGCGACTGGCTCTATTGCTATCAGGATGACTGAAAAATGTTGTTGAAAAACGTAACCAGTATTTCAGCAGACAATCGCTACTGCCATTATCATTGTGGTTGCCGCTGCCGTTGCTGATGCCGATGTTGTTGTGGTGGCTGCTGCTACTGCTGCTGGTCCGCTGGTGTTGTTGCTTTTGGTTTTGTGGTCGTCGTCGTCCGACAAGCAAAGCGAGATGTCCTGGTTTCTTTTTTGGCCTATGAGACAAAAGCAAAGTGGTTCTTGATTGTGTGCTTCGTGTAGCGGTTGTTCGGCCTTGAAGCTGACGATTCTATTCACTGATCGACTGCGCTGCAGGCTCGGCCTGCCTTCCGGAAACGACCGAGGGGTACGTCCCCGTTGCAGAGCGCAAGAACGTCACTATTGCAACTCGGTAGCAGTGCTTTTGAGCCGTATCCCGTGCAGCCCCGTATGCAGGGGCACGCACCAAGCCCGCCCGCCTGCATGCCCACCTGCCCGACATGAGAACCGATGCGTGCAGGACGGCTATACGGTGCCTATTGGCTTCACCAATCCGAACTGGGAATCCGCCATTATCTACAATACGGTGGCTTCGATTCTTGTTGAGGAGCTTCGGTTACATTCAGCTCGGATTCGCCCTCCCTCTTTTATGCCCAATGCCCAAAACAGGAGATCATTGGCTTCAACACGAAGCTGGGGCCATTCGGATCCGGCTCTCCGAATGCCTTCGAGCTCGCTGCCAACGACCCGACAGTGCACGTTGCCCAAGAGCTGTGGGATTACGCGCTGACTGCGTTCGCCGCAAGCTACCCATTGTAATTTGTCAGCCTTTTGAATCTTGATGCAACAAGATCGGATTTCGAAAATCTTTGAAGCTGTGTCATACTTGTGGCAATGCAGGCTTCAATGCAGCGAATCCGGACAAGGCCCTTGACCGAGTGAAGGCGTTGGACTATTCAGGGACAGACGGCATGTACATCTTCCCGAAGACTTATGAGCCATACTACACAGACTCGGGTAAGTCACTTGAGTTCTACAAGGACCTCAATGTGAGTTGGGGCAACTATCAGAACTACTTCTCCCAGATGTCGGTCTTTACCGATCCTTCGGCTTTTGACGACTGCAGTCACCCAACCGTGGCATCCGATGGAGTCATGGACGACTATATCAGATTCACAGGCGATGAGGATGCCATAGTCACTGTCAACGGGCAGAGGAAGTGGATCTGCTACCAGGCCGCGAAATTGCGAGCAGGGGATGGGACAGTTCCGAAACTTTGCGAGGGGGGGGAGGGGGCCTGAGGCCGGCAGAGGATGAATTTTGTTCCCATACTCAGCAAGCCTCATGCGTGCACGTTGGAGGAGAAGTGGTGGATGTCACCAGCTTGCCGGGATGCGCCAATGACTTGCGCACCCATGATCACGAACTCGTTCTGGCAGCTGGGATGTTAGCTTGTTGCTGCCCAGCCTGATGTCTCTAGTCCGTTCCGTGACATCCAAGAACATCCAACGACTTGTCAGGTCCTACAACCCATCACGGCAGAAGGCTGCTGTCTACAACATCGCCATGTCCATTGCAAACACGATCGCGTATGGCGACTACACGTCTATGCCGAAGCAGCACAGAACCTTTTCGTACTGGTGCCTGGTTGGAATCCACCATTTTTTTCTTGGCTTGTGGGTTTTCCAAGTGCCGGCACGAGCATCAATCAATTCCCTTTGCTACGGCGTTGCGCGTGCAGATCCACTCTACTTGTCAGTACTTGTGCCGTGCAGATGTTATGCACAGGAAGTCTGCAAACTGCCTGAGCAAGCTTTCCGGGGGTGATGACAGAGGATGCTGCACAATTGTAGATGGCTTTCACGCAGCGTCGATGATGACAATGCAAAACATAAAAGCTTGCGGGGAGGCACTGTGCACAAATACGGAACACGAACAAGCACGAAATTGGTGTGAGGGCACGGCGACGGCGATCAAAGCACTAAGCGGTCAAGTGCTGAGCACTAAGCACTCGAGAGCTTGGAAAGGCAGACAAGCTTCACCCTGGACATTGCATATGGTAGCATGCGCCCAGGTGGTCACCTGACATCACCTTCAAGGCGGACGGGGCAGTAAAGGTGATCTTCCTCCCGTACAGAGAAGACGAATACGCGATTGGGAACCTGGGTTCAAGTTCTAGCTTCATGTTACGTACAATGCCTCGGCTAGCATGCCGCACACATTCACTGCGTGAAGGTTCGTCCTGTGGCACCATAGTCATTATACAACTCTGTGGCTGGAAGGATGTTGTTCAATACTTAAGACAAAGCTGGCTCAGACTTCAAGCTTCTGCGCATCTGATCTCGGGTGGTGACTCTTATTCAGCACATGCTGTGGCTGTTGCGAGTGTTGTCGGTCTGATTCACGGAAGCTTGTGCCTGCATCTTTGCACAATCTTTTTTCCAATGAATCAAGCAGTTCTTGGAAGGGTAAGGGTTCCGGGCTTTATCTCCACGTACACTGTTTGGGTGAGGACAGCAAAGGTTCATGTCGTCCCTGTGCATCAGAAAGTACTAGCATGCCACGGTCGAGACCCTCTTTTTCTTGGGGTCGATTCTTCCGATAGAAATCGAAGGAAGTTCACCACCGACGTGAACGACGTCCCCCTGCTGTCATATGTGCATAAGCAGCTGGGAAGCTTGGCCCAACTGTGCGGTAAGCCTGCCCTAGCCGTAGAAGCAGAGGCCCTGTCGGCTCGTGAAGCGAAGGCTTTAAGCTCAGGCCCAGGGAGTTCGTAACGCCCTGCAGAACCGAAACTACCTCCCAATCTTCGAACGCTGATGAGTAGATCCGCTTTCAATGCTGCACATAGCCCTTTTGCACGAGACGCGAAGCTCACGGAATCTGTAACGACCAGTGGTCCATCAGCTTAGCAAAAGTGCGTGGATGTACTTTGATGCATGGAACCACTTTAAGCCAGATGAGAATTTCTTCCGAGGAACTGCAGCCCCAGCCGTCCTGTCCATGCTGGGCGATATGTGACTGTGCCAGGAATGTGAGCACATGGGGTTGACCCGGACTTCGAGAGCATGGCGGTTGACTTCGTTTGGATAGCTTTAAAATCCAAGAACACCGTCCTGACCTGCGTTAACGTTCTGTTAATGCTGCAACGACGGTCATGACCATTCCAGCTACAGGGGCTTTTGTGCATGGGCAAGAAAGATCAGGAAGCCAAAGCTGAGACCATGGAGCCTCAGTGCACTGCCTGCAGAGCGTGTGAAGCCATGAGTGTCTGTGCGCGAGAGAAGAACGAGGGATCATCTGGTGTTTGAAGTGCATACTGACTGCAGGGCACCTGAAATCAGAGCACAAAATTCTGCCGCATCGGCCGCCTCCCATTCCCGGCAGAACATCTCATGAAACATGATCCCCAAACTTCCGCAACACTTTGAGGGCCATCTACAAGCCTGACATGGATTGGCTACTGGAGGAGGTGGTGTTGGGGCGAACACTTGGTGACTTGGACACATCTAGGAGAAGATGCGAAGGGTTGCTGCGTGCCAGGTTAGCAGAAGATTGACATACGATTGAATACAAGCGAGCTAGATGGAGCCGACGGACATGTGTTGTGGCAACCGAAGCATGCCGTTGAGATGAGCTGAGATGCATCATGCAGAACGACAGTGCGTATTTGGACGGATTGCTGCGTTTTGTATTCAACCAGCACACAGACACACACGCAGACAAACACAGACGCGCACACATGCAGCCACGCAGACACCCCAAGCACCGCTGACACCACAGCCACACACACAGACCCAGACACAGGCACAGACACACAGACACAGACACAGAGACAGAGACACAGACACAGAGACAGGGGGACCCTATTTTTCTTGATTTTTTTTTTTCCTTTGCATTTTTTTCCTTTGGGGGCCTCGGTTAAAGGCGGTCGTTCTCCATGCGTTTGCTTTGCGCTCCTCTTTCTGCCGCTTGCTGCTTTCCTTGCTTGTTGCTTTGTTGTGATTGTTGCTTTTGCTGTTTGTTGTTTTTGTTCTTTTACTTGTTGCTTTTTGTTTTCTGCCTTTGCTTTGCACTCTGCTTTCTGCTGCTTTCTTTGCTTTTTGTTTCCTGCAATTTCTTTATGTCTTTTCTGCACGCTCCGCTTCTTGTTGCTTTCTTTGCTTGTTGTTTGTCGTGTTCGTTTTCTGTCTTGTTGTGCTTTTCGCTTTATATATGTATATATATAGACACACACACACACCTACACACCTACATGCATACACACCTACGTGCATACATACATACGTAAAGCACATCTACCAGCATGTAATGTATATACGATCTATCTGTCGTGCAGACATCATATCTCCGAGCTGCCACTGGCAGGAGAGGGTCTCGGTTCCCAAAAAATCATGCCTGACGTTGTCTAACTCGGTGCAGACATGAGGCTCTATGCAGAACACCACTTTGCATCCACGTCGAAGTGCAAGCACGCTGCTTGCTCATCCGCCTCTACTACTACTACTACTACTACTACTACTACTACTACTACTACTACTACTACTGGTACTGCTACTGCTACTGCTACTGCTACTAGTACTAGTACTACTACTACTACTACTACTACTACTACTACTACTACTACTACTACTACTACTAGTTAGAGGGCTCGAGGGCCGGAGCTCCGCTGCCGCATGGTGGGTGACGACGGCTCTCCCAAGAAAGCCCAAACCGTTGTCGGGTTTCTGTGAAAGTCTTGACTTGCATATTCCTCTCTTGGCGGTAGTGCAAAACTGCATCATACCCGACTCGACATGTCCCGCACCGGAAGTGAAAGCAAAGCTCCCAGCTGCGGTTCTTGTTTTGCCAGGCTCATCAGCGGCGACGACAGTGCAAAGTGTGCCGTCAGCTGTTCACGAAAGTGAGAAAGCCGCGAAGAGATCTTCGTGACCGTTGTGTAAAACACTACGGCCTGAAGCCCGACAACAATCTTGCGCTTTGTCACTCTTGCATATGCAGAGTTCAAAAGTGCAAGCCTGTTGACACTGCCAGCGACGATGGAGAGGCCACCCGCATACTCGTACCGGGCTTGCTCCAATCGTTCTTGAAATCTTATCAGGCTGTGTTAAACCAAAACAACAACAACTACAACTACAACTGCAACTGCAACTGCAACTGCAACTGCAACAGCAACAACGACAACAACGACAGCAACAACTACTGCTCAGCAAGCCTTGCCGCTCGCCGCCGGCTTGGGAACTGCTCCCGCAATG